TCAAGCAATACCCAAGAGGAGGAAAAACTACCACCCCTTTAGCTGAAACTAAATAGTAGCTACCAACGACTCAAAAATCAATCTAAAACTGGGTGGTGAAGATACACAAACATGACCACAGGAAAAACTTCATCGTAGGCCCAGTACCTAAGCCAGCGTGACGCTACCCTTTCTTAATACTGTTTGTTGTTGAAGATACACGAGACATTCGTGAGGGTCAAGTGACAATGCTTTATTGTTTATACAGCGCCTTAGGCATCTGGAATATTTGTCGCTGACGGACTGTGTTGATCAGGCCCCTTAAAACATGGATAAATCGAAAGCATACAAAGTCAACTATTGATAAATAGTTTAATATGGCGTCTTTCTTAACGCCGACTTTATTTGGGGTTTTTGTCGGCTTACTCACTTTACGCAGCAGAAAAGGAGCCGTTCCTAATAACCACGGCGGCAGGAGACAGCGCTCCGAGGGGAGAGGGAGGTGCTCGTAAACCAACGTGAAAACACATCCCTCGCGGGGGGCTCAGCGGGACGCGAAGGACTTTACTACAGCACAGACACGTGTGGCCGCGGCGGGCAGCCGGAGGACACAGACAGCGGCGGGGCTCGGCGGCCGATGGCGAAGGGGCGACAGCGGCCCCGCCCCTCCAGGCCTTCCCTTCGCTTTCCACCGGGACGGGACGGCGCTGCCCAGCCCCGCCCGTCCCCCAGGCGCGGGCCCGACCCCGCAGTGCCCGGGAAGAGGCGAACACTTGCCGCTGCCTCTCGGGCCGCGGCCACACAACCCGAGCGGAGCCCCCGCCGTGCCCTCCCCCTGCGCTGCCCACCCGGCCTCCCGCCGGCAGCGCCCGCCACCACCCGGGCCCGTCCCCGCCCCACCCCCGCCGCGGGCCGGGCCGTGCGGTGCAGCAGCGGAGGCCAACCGCCAGCAACGCTGGCCGCTGCCCCCGCCGGCCGGCAGAGGCGGGCCTCGGGCCGTACCTCACGGGCTCTGCAGTCATGTCTCCGCTGCTGCTGCTCGGTGCGGCCGGGCCGGAACCGGGCTTAGGCGCTGGGAGCAGACAAAGCCGCTGTTACCACCATCACCAACCCCGCCGCCATCTTATCGGCGGGAGGCTGAGGGAGACCTGCCTCCCGCCGCCTTCCTCCTTCGCCGGCTCCCATTGGCTCCTTGCCGCCCCCAGCTATTTTCTGATTGGGCGGCTCCGACGGAGCCTGTTGCTAGGGGAGTTTACGTCATCGCCCCAACCTTCCCCGCTCTGATTGGTTGGAGTGCGGCTGACATCACTGGCAGGGGCCTGGCGTCACGCGGCGAGGCCCGTGACATCACTTCAAAACAAAGTGTAGCGACGCGCTTGCCCAGCAGGGGGCGCCATGGCCAAGGTGGCGGAAGGGAGCCCGGTGTGGGGGGGGCAGCGGGGACGGGGCTGACCGCGTCCGCAGGCACCCATCGTCCCTGGGCTGCTGCTTCGGGCAGCTCCGCAGCCTGGTTCAGGGTGGTACCCAATGGGGGGGCAGTGGAGGGAGTGGAGGGAGGGAGGGGGGGAGGGTGGGGGGAGGCAATGGGGTGGGGATGGGTCAGGGGGGTAGCCAATGGTGATGGTTCGGGGTGGTACCCAAGGGTGGTACCCAATGGTGATGGGTCAGGGTGGTACCCAATGGGGATGGGTCAGGGTGGTCCCCAATGGTGGTACCCAATGGTGATGGTGGTACCCAATGGTGATGGTTCAGGGTGGTACCCAGTGGGGGGGAGTGGAGGGAGGGAGGGGGGTGGGTGGTGGGGGGAGGCAATGGGGTGGGGATGGGTCGGGGGGGGGCTAGCCAATGGGTATGGGTCAGGGGGGTAGCCAATGGGGATGGGCCATGGGGGTAGCCAATGGTGATGGTTTAGGGTGGTACCCAATGGGGATGGTTCAGGGTGGTACCCAATGGGGATGGTTCAGGGGGGTACCCAATGGGGATGGGCCATGGGGGTACCCAATGGGGATGGGGATGGTTCAGGGTGGTACCCAATGGTGATGGTTCAGGGTGGTACCCAATGGTGGTACCCAATGGTGATTGTGGTACCCAATGGTGATACCCAATGGTGGTACCCAAGGGTGATGGTTCAGGGTCGTACCCAATGGTGATGATGGTACCCAATGGTGATGGTCCATGGTGGTACCCAATGGTGATGATGCTACCCAAAGGTGATGGTCCATGGTGGTACCCAATGGTGATGGTGGTAACCAATGGTCATAATGGCACCCAATGGTCATGCTCCATGGTGATACTCAATGATGATACCCAATGGTGGTACCCAATGGTGGCAACCAATGGTGACGATGGTACCCAATGGTGATGGTCCATGGTGGTACCCAATGGGGAAGATGATGCCCAGTAGTGATGGTGCCCCATGGTGGTGATGCTCAATGGTGGTAACCAATGGTGATGATGGTACCCAATGGTGATGGTCCATGGTGGTACCCAATGGTGGTACCCAATGGTGATGATGATGCCCAGTAGTGATGGTGCCCAATGGTGGTGATGCTCAATGGTGGTAACCAATGGCGATGATGGTACCCAATGGTGGTGGTCCATGGTGGTACCCAATGGTGGTACCCAATGGTGATGATGATGCCCAGTAGTGGTCATGCTCAATGGTGGCAATCAATGGTGATGCCCCATGGTGCTGATGCTCAATGGTGGTAACCAATGGCGATGCCCCATGGTGTTAACCAATGGTGATGCCCCATGGTGGTAACCAATGGCGATGCCCCATAGCGATGGCCCCATGGCATGGCCCCACCTGCACTGACAGTGATGGCCTCCAGGAACTGCTCCCTCCATGAGTGCGTCCCGATCACCGTGGCCAGGTTGGTTTTCTTCATCAGCTTGTCCACTGTGTTCTGTGGGGCAGGGCCATGGGGCTATGGGGCTATGGGGCTGTGGGGCTATGGGGCTATGGGGCTATGGGGTTATGGGGTTATGGGGCTGTGGGGTTATGGGGCTATGGGGTTATGGGGTTATGGGGCTGTGGGGCTATGGGGCTATGGGGCTGTGGGGTTATGGGGCTATGGGGTTATGGGGTTATGGGGCTATGGGGTTATGGGGCTAGGGGGTTATGGGGCTATGGGGTTATGGGGCTATGGGGTTATGGGGCTATGGGGTTATGGGGCTATGGGGCTATGGGGTTATGGGGCCATGGGACTATGAGACTATGGATTTATGGGGACATGAGGCTATGGGGCTATGGGGTTATGGAGCTATGGAGCTATAGGGCTACGGGGCTATGGAGCTATGGGATTATGGGGCTATGGGGCTATGGGGTTATGGGGCTATGGGGCTATGGGGTTATGGGGCTATGGGGCTATGGGGTTATGGGGCTATGGGGCTATGGGGCCATGGGGCTATGGGGCTATGGAGCTATGGGTCCTGCCCCATGGTGCCCCGTACCTTGAAGTCATAGGACTCCTCGATGATGACCTCCAGGCGCCGGTTCTCACCCAGGACGGGTTTGCCCATCTCAGCGATGCGCCGGGCGTCCTCCTCCTCGGCCGAGAGCTGCCGCTCGCCCTCCGCTGTGGGGCACCGTGTGGGGTACAGTGTGTGGGGCATGGTGTGGGGCACAACGTGTAGGGTACAATGGGGGGCACAATGTGTGGGGCGTGGTGTGGGGTACAACGTGTGGGGTACAATGGGGGGCACAATGTGGGGCATGGGGATACGGGAGCGGGATTGGGATCAGGATAGGATCAGGATTGGGATTGAGAGCAGAACAGGAACAGGGTGGGAATCAGGATAGGATTGGGATTGGGACTGGGATCAGGATCGGGATGGGATTGGGATCAGGACCAGGATCAGATCAGGACTGGGATCAGGATCGGGCTCAGGACTGGGATCACATTGGGATCGCATTGGGATCACGTTGGGATCGCATTGGGATCGCATTGGGATCGGGATCAGGATCGGGCCCGGGACATCGGCTCGTACCTTGGGCCAGCAGAAGAGCTGCGGGGAGAGAGAGGGGGGGAGGCGGTGAAACCCCGCCCCCTCCTGTTAAGCTCCGCCCCTCCCAGCCTAAGCCACGCCCCCAAGCCCCCACTTTGCAATCAATCCCCCCGCAGGATCCGCACCTTCCACCCGAGCCGCTCACCTTCCCTCTCAAGCCCTGCCCCTCCCCTCCAAGCCCCGCCCCGCCCCCCCATTCGCTCTCAAGCCCCGCCCCTTCCACCCAAACCCCGCCCCTCCACACCAAGCCCCACCTCATCGCTTTCAACCCCCACCCCACCAGGAGGGTCCGCCCCTCCCAGTCAAGCCCCTCCCTCTTACCCAAGCCCCTCCCCTTCACTCTCAAGCCCCACCCCTCCAACAGGCCCCGCCCCTTCCACCCAAGCCCCTCCCCTCTCAGCCAACTCCTCCCCATTCGCTCTCAATCCTCGCCTCTTCTAGCCAAGGTCCCCCCCTCCGCGCCAAGCCCCACCCCTCCCAACCAAGCCCCGCCCCTCGGCCCGGAAGCCCCGCCCCTCTCACCGGAGATCCCGCGGTTCATCCAGCGGGGCGGGCCCAGCTCAATGTAAAACCGCTCCCGCTTCTCGTACTGGGCCGCGTCCACCAGGCGCACCCGCAGCGACCTCCTGCGGCCGGCGGCGGCAGTGCAACAGAGAGAGATACACCATTGAGAACCATTGAGAACCATTGGGAACCATTGAGAACCATTGGGAACCCCATTGGGAACCATTGCAACAGAGAGAGACCATTGAGAACCATTGGGAACCATTGCAACAGAGAGAGACCATTGAGAACCATTGCAACAGAGAGAGAGACCCATTGGGACCCATTGGGAACCAGTGCAACACAGAGACACCATTGAGACCCACTGAACCCCATTGACACCCATTGCAACAGAGAGAGACCATTGAGACCCATTGAGACCCATTGGGACCCATTGAGACCCATTGAGACCCATTGAGAACCATTGAGAACCATTGAGAACCATTGAGACCCATTGGGACCCACTGAGAACCATTGAGAACCATTGCAACAGAGAGACAGACCCATTGAGAACCATTGACACCCATTGCAACAGAGAGAGACCCATTGGGACCCATTGAGAACCATTGGGAACCCCATTGCAACACAGAGAGACACCATTGAGAACCACTGAACCCCATTGACACCCATTGAGAACCACTGAACCCCATTGCAACAGAGAGACACCATTGAGAACCATTGGGAACCATTGAGAACCATTGAGAACCATGGAACCCCATTGCAACAGACACCATTGGGACCCATTGGGAACCATGGAGAGCCATTGAGATCCATTGAACCCCACTGAACCCCATTAAACCCCATTGCAACACAGAGAGACACCATTGAGAACCACTGAGAACCATTGAGAACCATCGAACCCCATTGCAACACAGACACACACCATTGAGACCCATTGAGACCCACTGAGAACCATGGAACCCCATTGCAACACAGAGAAACCCATTGAGAACCATTGAGCACCACTGCAACACAGAGAGACCCACTGAGCACCACTGAGCACCATAGAGCACCATTGCAAGACAGAGGCCCATTGAGAACCATTGAACCCCAATGAACCCCACTGCAACACAGAGAGACCCATTGAGAACCATAGAGCACCACTGAGCCCCATTGAACCCCACTGCAACACAGAGAGACCCATTGAGAACCATTGAACCCCATTGAGCCCCATTGCAACACAGACAGACCCATTGAGAACCACTGAACCCCATTGAACCCCATTGAGACCCATTGCAACACAGAGACACCCATTGAGACCCATTGAGAACCATTGAGAACCATTGAACCCCATTGAACCCCACTGCAACACAGAGACACCCATTGAGAACCATTGAGCCCCATTGCAACACAAAGCGACCCATTGAGAACCATCGCATCCTATTGAACCCCACGGAGCACCAGTGAGCACCAGTGAGCACCATTGCAACACAGAGACCCATTGCGGCCCATAGAGATCCATTGAGCCCCACTGAGCCCCACTGAGCACCACTGAACCCCATAGAGTCCCACTGAATCCCATTGAGCCCCATTTAGCACCATTGAGCCCCATTGCAACACAGAGCAACCCATTGAGCCCCACTGAGCACCATAGAGCACCATTTGAGCCCCATTGTGTCCCACTGAGTCCCATTGAGCCCCATTGAGCACCATTGAGACCCATTGAGCACCACTGAGCCCCGTTGCAACATGGGGCGTCCCATTGAGCCCCATTGCATCCCATTGACCCCCATTGCGTTCCACTGACCCCCATTGCATCCCATTGCAACACAACGTCCCATTGAGCCCCATTGCATCCCATTGCATCCCATTGAGCCTCATTGAGTCCCATTGAGACCCATTGAGTCCCATTGTATCCCATTGAGCCTCATTGCGTCCCATTGAGTCTGATTGAGTCCCATTGAGTCCCACTGAACCCCACTGAGCCCCATTGAGCCCCATTGCATCTCATTGAGCCCCATTGAGTCCCACTGAACCCCATTGAGCCCCATTGCGTCTCATTGAGCCCCATTGAGCCCCATCGCATCTCATTGAGCACCATTGAGTCCCATTGCGGCCCATTGAGCCCCACTGAGTCCCATTGAGCCCCACTGCAATACAGGGCATCCCATTGAGCCCCATTGAGCCCCATTGCGTCCCATTGAGCCCCATTGAGTCCCATTGAGCCCCATTGGATCCCATTGAGCCCCATTGCATCCCATTGAACCCCACTGCATCTCATTGAGCCCCATTGCATCCCTATGGCACCCCATTGCAACACAGAGCATCCCATTCAGCCCCACTGCACCACAGTGAATCCCATTGAGCCCCATTGCAACACAAAGCGTCCCATTAAGCACCATTGCATCCCACTGAGCCCCATTGTGTCCCATTGAACCCCATAGCAACACAGGGCATCCCATGGAGCCCCACTGCATCCCATTGAGCCCCATTGCAACACAGGGCATCCCGTTGAGCCCCATTGCAACACAGAGCATCCCATTGAGCCCCATTGCATCCCATTAAGCCCCATTGCTACACAGGGCATCCTATTGAGCTCCATTGCAACACAGAGCATGCCATTGAGTCTCATTGCAACACAGGGCATGCCATTGACCCCCATATATCCCATATATCCCATAAATCCCACATATTCCATGTAACCCATATCCCACGTCCCATATATCCCATATCTCACATATCCCACATATCCCATATCCCTTATATCACATATATCCTGTATATCACATATATCCCATGTATCCCATATCCCACATCCCATATAGCCCATATATCCCATGTATCCCATGTATCCCATATAGCCCATATATCTCATATCCCACATACCCCATATATCCCATGTATCCCATATCCCATATATCCCATATCTCATATCCCACATACCCCATATATCCCATATCCCATATATCCCATATATCTCATATCCCATATATCCCATATCCCATATCTCATATATCCTATATATCCCATATATCTCATCTCCCATATATCTCATACATCCCGCATCCCATATATCCCATATATCCCATGTATCCCATATATCCCATATAGCTCATATATCTCATATCCCACATACCCCATACATCTCATATCCCATACTACCCCATATATCCCATATATCTCATATCCCATATATCCCATATCTCATAGATCCCACATCCCATATATCGCATATATCCCATATACCTCATATGCCATATATCCCATATCTCATATATGCCACATCCCATATATCCTATATATCCCATATATCTCATATCCCATATATCCCATACATCCCATATATGCCATATATCCCATGTATCCCATAGATCCCATGTATCCCATATCCCACATACCCCATACATCCCATAACCCCCCCCACCCCCCACCCCACATCACCCCCCCCCTCACATGGTCTCATCATTGCCGAACTCCAGCTCCCCGGCCGCATCCTCGTAGTGCACTCCTCCCCCCTTGGCCGAGCCCTCCACGGTGCGGTACGGCAGCAGCACGGTGCCGCGGGCGCCGGAGCCCCTCACCACCTTCACCTCGGCCCAGCCTTGCCCTTCGCTCACGCGGAGCGACCGCTCTTGGAAGGCGAAGATCCCGCCGTGGTCATCGTCCAGGATGGTGACCGTGGCCAACGCCGGCGCCACCAACTTCCCTTTGGGGTGCTCGGCGCAATCCGGTTCGAACATCCCCTCGGCGTCGCCGACGCGGAGGTTGAGGAGCCGCACGAAGAAGCGCTCGTCCTCCTCGAAGATATCGTCGTCGATGATGCCGATGCTCAGCTCCTTCACCGTTTCCCCCGGTTTAAACACCAAAGTGCCTTCGCTATACTCATAATCAGACCCGGCTTTCGCCGACCCGTCCTCGGTGCGGTAATCCACGTAGAACGTACGGTTAGCACCGACACCGTGCTCGCACGCCACCGACAGCGTCACCGCGCCGCAGTTCTCCAAGCAATGATAAAGGCACGGCTCGAAGTAAATCCTCCCGCACTCTTCATCCTCACCGTCGGATGGAGCATCCGGTAACGCCGGGACGCGCCGGGATGGATCGGCGGCGTGTTTACGGAGGACGTTCCCGGCGCCGGTCATCATCCGCGTGGCTTGGATGCGGTAGAAAGCGCGGCTCTTTTGTTGGTGCAACAACGCCGCGTAGTTGGCCATGTCCAAGAGTTGGTCCAGCTCCTTCTCCGGGTACTTCTGCTTGAGTTCCTTGAGGATCTGGATCACCTCCCGGCGCGCTTCATCCTGCTCCTTGTCCTCTGATTGGTCCGTTGGTGATAACGGTGGTTGTGGTGATGCCGTGATACCGCCATCCATCTCAATGGCTTTGGGCACGTCGCCTTCGGTGCCGATGATGATGCCGCTACGCGGGTCGGCGCGGTAACGCTTGTAGACGTCCTTATAGAACAAGAGGCGCTTATCGGCCGCCCACGCCACCACCACGCACACCGGGAAGAAGACGAGGGTGAGGAGGGCTTCCCACACCTGCACCACGCCGGGGGAGATAACGGCTAAGATCAGGTATAACCACACATAGGCAAAGATGCTCCAAGCGGCCGTGACGAAGAAGACCCGCAAGTGCTTGATGCGCCGGCTCTCGCCCGCCGGCACCACGTAGACGCAGACGGCGATCACCACGAACATGTTGAAGGCGGCGCTGCCGACGATGGTGCCGGGTCCCAGTTCGCCGGCTTGGAAGTCGTGACCGCAAACCTCGATGACGGAGAGCAGGATCTCCGGTGCCGAAGAGCCCAAAGCCATCAAGGTGAGGTTGGAGACGGTCTCGTTCCAGATGCGCACCGTGCCCACGCTGGTTTCGCCGTTGGCTTTGGTGATGGTGATCTCCTTCTCTTTGGACGTGATGACTTCGATGGAGGCCATGAAGCGGTCGGCGATGATGGAGACGCCCAAGAAGAGGTAGACCATGGCCACGAAGTAGACGACGGCGCGCGCCGCCTTGTCGCCCGTCGAGGGGTCGTGGGGTTGCCATACGGGGAGGAGCACCCCCGGTTGGCAGCGAGAGGAACCCCGGCACGTGCCGTTGGCGTCGGGCACGGCGCCGGATGCGCCGGGGATAGGCGGTGGTGACACAAGGAGCAGGGCCAGAGGGAGGAGGAGAGGGAGAGCGGCGGCCATGGTGCCTGTGGGGAGGGGAGAGGGGATGCAGTGGGGATGGGACCATGGTAATGGGGGATGCTCGGGCGTGGGGATGGGGTGGAGATGTGGGGTTGGGGACCGTGGTAATGGGGGGATGCTCAGGTGTGGGGATGGGGACCATGGTCATGGGGTGATGCTGGGCCATGGGGTGATGCTCGGGGGTGGGGATGGGGTGGAGATGTGGGGCTGGGACCATGGTAATGGGGGATGCTCAGGGGTGGGGATGGGGAGGAGATGTGGGGCTGGGACCATGGTAATGGGGGGATGCTCAGGGGTGGGGATGGGGTGGAGGTGTGGGGCTGGGACCATGGTAATGGGTGATGCTCAGCCATGGGGGGATGCTCAGGGGTGGGGATGTGGGGCTGGGGACCATGGTAATGGGGAGATGCTCAGGGGTGGGGATGGGGAGGAGATGTGGGGCTGGGGACCATGGTAATGGGGGGATGCTCAAGGGTGGGGATGGGGAGATGTGGGGATGGGGATCATGGTAATGGGGGGATGCTGGGTCATGGGGGGATGCTCAGGTGTGGGGATGGGATCATGGTAATGGGGGGATGCTCGGGGGTGGGGATGGGGTGGAGATGTGGGGATGGGACCATGGTAATGGGGGGATGCTCAGGGGTGGGGATGGGGAGGAGATGTGGGGCTGGAGACCGTGGCCATAGGGGGATGCTCAGGTATGGGGCTGGGGACCATGGTCATGGGGTGATGCTGGGCCATGTGGTGATGCTCAGGTGTGGGGCTGGGATGCAGTTGTGGGGCTGAGACAATGGCCATGGGGGGATGCTGGGCCATGATGTAGGGATGGGGACCATGGCCATGGGGTGATGCTCAGGTGTGGGGCAGGGATGCAGTTGTGGGGCTGGGACCATGGCCATGGGGTGATGCTCAGGTGTGGGGCAGGGATGCAGTTGTGGGGATGGGGACCATGGCCATGGGGTGATGCTCAATGTAGGTGATGCTCAGGTGTGGGGCAGGGTCAATGCCCACTTGTGGGTCTGGGGGGGGTCCCAATGCTCAGTTATGGGGCTGGGGGGGGGGGTGGGGTGTCCCTCCTGTGGGTCACGTGGCCCCGGGCAAGGTGGGGGTGGTGGTGGGGGGGGTGTCCCACGCTGTGAGTCACGTGGCCTTCCGGGGCGGGGGGGAGGGGGGGGGAGCGCGTGGGCGAGCCCAGCTGCTCCTTGGCAACGGCGCGGTTCCCATGGCAACGGCTATAAAAAGGTGCGGGGGGGGGGGGACCCGGACCGGGAACAGCCACAGGCAGAGCCCATAGAGACCCATAGGGACCCATAGGGACCCATAGAGCCCCATAGGAACCCATAGGGACCTAATAGAGAACCATAGACACCTATAGACAACCATAGACACCTGTAGACAGGCACCTATAGGCACCCAGTAAGCACCTATAGGTACTTAAGGACACCCCATAGACACACATAGACACCTATAGACACCCTATAGACACCCTATAGACACCTACAGACACCAATAGACACCCAAACAAACCCTATAGACCCCACTAGGCATCCTACAGACACCTATAGACATCCCATAGACACCTATAGCCACCTATAGACACCCTATAGACCCTATAGACACCCTATAGACACCCTATAGCCACCTATAGACACCCATATACACCCTATAGACATCCTATAGACACCCTATAGCCACCTATAGACACCCATATACACCCTATAGACATCCTATAGACACCCATAGCCACCTATAGACACCTATAGACACCCTATAGACACCTATAGACACCCTATAGACACCTATAGACACCCATATACACCCTATAGACATCCTATAGACACCCTATAGCCACCTATAGACACCCATATACACCCTATAGACATCCTATAGACACCCTATAGCCACCTCTAGACACCCATATACACCCTATAGACATCCTATAGACACCCTATAGCCACCTATAGACACCCATATACACCCTATAGACATCCTATAGACACCTATAGACACCCATAGACACCCTATAGACACCCATAGACACCCTATAGCCACCTATAGACTCCCATATACACGCTATAGACATCCCAGACACCCTATAGACACCCATAGATGCCTATAGACATCCCATAGACACCCTATAGACACCCATAGACACCTATAGACACCCATAGACACCCTATAGACACCTATAGACACCCTATAGACACCCTATAGACACCCATAGGTGCCCCATAGACGACCCCACTGCATGAGCCCACATTCCCCATCCCGCTCCATGTGGGACGTGGCTTCCTGGCCCATTCCCAGCTCCAGCCCCATGGATGCCATGAATGGGATCAATGGGACTAAAGGGATCAATGGGACTAATGGGATCAGTGGGGTCAATGGGACTAATGGGATCAGTGGGACTAATGGGATCAGTGGGGTCAGTGGGATCAGTGGGGTTAATGGGACCAATGGGATCAATGGGACTAATGGGATCAATGGGGTCAGTGGGATCAATAGGGTCAATGGGATTAATGGAATCAATAGGGTCAGTGGGATTAATGGGATCAATGGGACCAATGGGATCAATGGGGTCAGTGGGATTAATGGGATCAATGATCAATGGGACCAATGGGATCAATGGGGTCAATGGGATCAATGGGACCAATGGGATAAATGGGATCAGTGGGATCAATGGGACCAATGGAATCAGTGGGGTCAGTGGGATCAATGGGACCAATGGGATCAGTGTGATCAATGGAATCAATGGGATCAGTAGTATCAATGGGATCAGTGCGATCAATGGAATGAATGGAATCAATGGGATCAGTGGGATCAATGGGACCAACGGGCTGGGGAAGCCTCCAGGACCACCCCAATTCCAAGCGGGAATTCCACTCCCGGATCCCAAATACCCCCAATGGGCTCCGGGGGCAGGGGCCGGATGGGATCGGGGCCATTCCCAAGGGATTCAGGGAGCAGGGGAATGGGAATGGGACAGGAAGAGCCCCGGATCCCATTGGATGCTCTTAGGGATGAAGGCGCTGAGGAGGAAGAGCATCAATGGGGATGGAGGGGGGGGCCCGTGGGTCCTGAACCCCAATGGGATGGGGGCGATGCCCAAGGATATGGGGGGGGGGGGGGGGATGGGAAAAGGGAGGAAAAACCCTGGGAAAGCCGTTGCCAAGGGAGGAAAAGGGGAGCGGGGGTGGAGGGGGGGGTCCCAATGTTGGGAATTGGGGATTTTGGGGGGGAATTGGGAAGAAAATGGGGAAATTTGGGGGGAATTTGAGGGAAAATTGGGGAAAATTTGGGGGAGATTTTGGAGGAATTAACAGGGGAAATTTGGGGGGAATTTGGAGGAAAATGGGGTAAAATTTGGGGGAGATTTGAGGGAAAATTGGGCAAAATTTGGGGGAGATTTGAGGGAAAATTGGGCAAAATTTGGGGGAAATTTGGGGGAGATTTTAGAGGAATTCACGGGAAAATTGGGGGGATTTGGAGGGAATTCCGGGGGAATTCTGAGGGAATTTGGGGAAATTTAGGGAGGATTTAAGGGGAAATTCAGGAAATTTTTCGAGGGGATGGAGAGAAAATTTGGGCCAAATTTAGGGAGGATTTGAGGGAAATTCCAGGGAATTTGGGGAGAAATGAAGGGAAAATTTGAAAGATTCCGAGGAAATTCGGAGGAAATTTGGGGGAAATTTTTTGGAGGATTTGAGGGAAATTCCAGGCAAATTTGGGGGAGATTTTGGGGGAAATTGTGGGATTTTGAGGAAATTCTGAGCAAATTTGGGGCAAAATTCGGGGCAGGATTTGAGGGAAATTTCAGGAAAATCGGGGGCGATTTTGGGGGCATTTTGAGAGAAATTCGGGGGAAAATTTGGGGAAATTCAGGGAAAATTAAGGGAAATTTGGGGGAAATTCATTGGAAATTGGGGGAATTTGGGGGAAATTCATTGAAAATTGGAGGAAAATCAGGGAAAATTGGGGGGAATTTGGAGGAAATTTGGGGTCCGACCCCCCCCCAACACCGGCTCCGGGGGGGGGAATGGATGCTCCTTAACCAGGATGCAGGAATGGGAAGCGGCCCCCCCCCCAATTGATCCCATTGATGGGGGGGCCAATGGGGGCAGCCCCACTGATGGGGGGACCCCATTGATCCCGATCAGATCCCGATACCCCCCCCCCAATCCTCAGGTGGGGGGAGGGGCGGCTCTTTCCCCCCCCCCTCCCCCCCCCCCATCCCCCCCCCATCCCCGTACCTGGGTCCGGCTCCGGCTCCGCTCGGGGCCCCCCCCGGTGCCGCCGCCGTCGCTACCGGTCACTTCATGGCGATGGGGGGGGGGCGGGGGGGGCGGAGCTTGGGGGGAGGGGGGGAAACCCGGCCCCGCCTCCCCCCTTTAAGGATCGGGGATGGGGAGAACGGGGGAGCCCCCGTGACGTCATCGGGAGCCCCCGAGCCAACCCCCCTTTGACCTCTGTGACTCTAAAGGACCCCCCCCATTCTACTCTATGGAATCCCCCCATGGATCCCCCCCCATACCCCTCTATGGACCCCCCCATACACCCCCCATGGACCCCTCTATAGACCCCCCCATAGACCCCTCTATAGATCCCCCATAGACCCCTCTACAGATCCCCCATAAACCCCTCTATAGACCCCCCATAAACCCCTCTATAGACCCCCCATAAACCCCTCTATGGACCCCCCATAGACCCCCCATAGCCCCCCTATATCCCCCCATAGATCCCCCATACCCCCTCCATACCCCCCATAGACCCCTCTATAGACCCCCCATAGACCCCTCTATAGATCCCCCATAAACCCCTCTATAGACCCCCCATAAACCTCTCTATGAACCCCCCCATAGACCCCTGTGACCCCCCCACAGACCCCTCCTCATAGACCTCTCTATGGCCCCCCCATTGACCACTGTGAGCCCCCCATAGACCTCTCTATGGCCCCCCCACTGACACCCCACAGACCCCTGTGACCCTCCCATAGATCCCCCCCCCATAGACCCCTCTATGGATCCCCCATAGAACCCTGTGACCCCCCCCATAGACCCCTCTATAGACCCCCCCATAGACCCCTCCATTGACCCCCCCATAGACCCCTCTATAGACCCCTCCATAGACCCCTGTGACCCCCCCCAATAGACCCGTCTATAGACCCCCCCATAGACCCCTGTGAACCCCCCCATACACATCTCTACAGACACCCCCATAGACCCCTGTGACCCCCCCCCAGCCTCCCTATGGCCCCCCCATTGACCCCTATGCCCCCATTGACACCCCCCCCCAATATCCCTATGGATCAATCCCAGCCATTCCCCCCCCCCATTGATCCCAACCCCATCCCAAAGGATCTGGGGGGGTCCCCATTAGAGCCCGGTCCAGGTTTATTGGGGGGGGGCCCCCACGAGTGCCCGGAGCCGCTCCAGGACGCAGCGAGCGACCGGTTCCAGGCGGTGCTGGGGGGGGAAGAGGGATAATGGGATCAGAATGGGATAATGGGATCAGAATGGGATAATGGGATCAGAATGGGATAATGGGATCAGGAATGGGATAATGGGATCAGAATGGGATAATGGGATCAGGAATGGGATAATGGGATCAGAAACAGGGATAATGGGATCAGGAATGGGATAATGGGATCAGAATGGGATAATGGGATCAGGAATGGGATAATGGGATCAGGAATGGGATAATGGGATCAGAATGGGATCAGGAACAGGGATAATGGGATCAGGAATGGGATAATGGGATCAGGAATAGGGATAATGGGATCAGGAACAGGGATAATGGGATCAGGAATAGGGATAATGGGATCAGGAATAGGGATAACGGGATCAGGAATGGGGATAACGGGATCAGAAACAGGGATAATGGGATCAGGAATAGGGGTAATGGGATCAGGAACAGGAAGAATGGGATCAGGAACAGGAAGAATGGGATCAGGAACAGGGATAACGGATCAGGAACAGGGATAACAGGATCAGGAACCCAGATAATGGGATCAGAATCCAGGATGACGGCATCAGAATGGGATAACGGCATCGGGATCCGGGATAACGGCATCGGGATCCGAGATAACGGCATCAGGATCCAGGATAACCACATCAGAATGGGATAACGGCATCAGAATGGGATAATGGCGTCGGAATCCGGGATAACGGCATCAGACCGGGATAGGGATGGGATAAAGAACCAGGATGAAACAGGGGTGAGGGATCGGGAGCCAGGGGTGGGATGGATCCTATGGGTGCTTTGGGTGGGATTGGGTGGATTTGGGGTGGTTTTGGGCTGTTTTGGGGTTTTTGGGCTCTTTTCGGTTCTTTTGGGGCTATTTTGAGGTGGTTTTGGGGTGTTTTGGGCTGTTTCTGGGACTGTTTTGGGGTGGTTTTGGGTGATTTTGGCCAGGTTTTGGGGTGGTTTGGTCTTTTAGGCTGTTTTGAGGCTGTTTTGGGTGATTTTGGGTTGTTTTGGGCCGTTTGGGGGCTATTTTGAGGTTGTTTTGGGGTGATTTGGGGGTATTTTGGGGTGTTGTGGGGTGATTTTGGTTTGATATTGGGGTATTTTGTGCTGTTCGAGGCTGTTTAGGGGTGATTTCGGGGTATTTTGGGCTGTTTGGGGGTGATTTGGGGGTATTTTGGGGTGATTTGGGGGTATTTTGGGGTGATTTTAGCGTATTTTTCCTGTTTTGGGTGATTTGGGGGGGTTGGGTGTTTTGGGCTGTTTTGGGGTGATTTTGGGGTGTTTTGGGGTGATTTTGGGGTATTTTGGGGTGTTTTGGGGTTTTCTGGGGTGATTTTGGGGTGATTTTGGGGTGGTTTGGGGCAGTTTTTAGCTGTTTTGGGGTATTTTGGGTTGTTTTGGGGTGTTTTTGGGTGTTCTGGGGTGATTTGGGGGTGTTTTGGGTGTTTGGGGGTGATCTTGGGGTGATTTTGGGATGATTTTGGGGTGTTTTGGGGGTGGTTTTGGGGTGATTTTGGGGTGTTTGGGGGTGATTTTGGCCTGTTTTGGTGTGATTTGGGGGTGATTTGGGGGTGATTTTGGTGTGATTTTGGGGTGATTTGGGGATGTTTTGGGGTGATTTTGGGGTGATTTTGGGGTGATTTGGGGTGTTTTGGTGTGATTTTGGGTGATTTTGGGGTGATTTTGGGGTGATTTGGGGTGTTCTGTGCTCGCTGACCTGCAGCACGTGCAGGCCCCGCACGCAGACCACGGCGAGCTCGGCCAGGCCATCACCGGTGAGGTCGCTGTAGAGCAGGGACAGGAGCGGGCTCGGGAAGCGCCGGGACCAGAGCAGGCGGAATTCCCCTCCGGAATACTTGTAACAGAGCAGCTCCTGCGGGAAGCAGCGGGGAGGCAATGGGGAACAATGGGGAACAATGGGGAACCAATGGGGAACAATGGGGAACAATGGGAACCAGTGGGAAACAATGGGGAAACAATGGGGAACCAATGGGGAACCAATGGGGAACAATGGGAAACAACTGGGAAACCAATGGGGAAACAATGGGGAAACAGTGGGGGATCCACTGGGAAACCAATGGGGAAACAGTGGGAAACCAATGGGAAACCAATGGGAAACAACTGGGAAACCAATGGGAAACCAATGAGAAACCAATGGGAAACAATGGGAACCAATGGGGAACCAATAGGGAACCAATGGGGAAACAATGGGGAAACAATGGGGAAACAATGGGGAACCAATGGGAAACCAATGGGAAACAATGGGGGATCCACTGGGAAACCAATGGGGAAACAGTGGGGGATCCACTGGGAAACCAATGGGGAAACAGTGGGAAACAACTGGGAAACAACTGGGAAACCAATGGGAAACCAATGGGAAACCAATGGGGGATCCACTGGGAAACCAATGGGAAACCAATGGGGAAAAAGTGGGGGATCCACTGGGAAACCAATGGGGAAACAGTGGGGGATCCACTGGGAAACCAATGGGGAAACAGTGGGAAACCAATGGGAAACCAATGGGAAACAACTGGGAAACCAATGGGAAACAATGGGAACCAATGGGGAACCAATGGGAAACCAATGGGGAAACAATGGGGAAACAATGGGAACCAATGGGAACCAATGGGAACCAATGGGGAACCAATGGGGAAACAATGGGAACCAATGGGAAACAATGGGGAAACAATGGGGAAACAATGGGAACCAATGGGGAAACAATGGGGGATCCACTGGAAAACAACCCGGAAACCACTGGGAAGCAACGGGAAACAACTGGGAAACCAGTGGGGGATCCACTGGGAAACCAATGGGAAACAACCCGGAAACCACTGGGAAACAACTGGGAAACCAATGGGAAACAACCCAGAAACCAAAGGGAAACCAATGGGAAACAATGGAGAAACAATGGGAAACAACTGGGAAACCAATGGGAAACCAATGGGAAACAACCCAGAAACCAATGGGAAACAATCCAGAAACCAATGGGAAACAATGGGAAACAACTGGGAAACCAATGGGAAACCAGTGGGAAACAACGGGGGGCCCACTGGGAAACCAATGGGAAACGATGGAAAACAACTGGGAAACCAATGGGAAAACACTAGGAAACAATGGGGAAACTACTAGGAAATGACTGGGAAGCAACCAGGAAACAGTGGGGAATCCATTGGGAAACCACGAGGGAACATCCAGGAAACAACCAAGTGGGAATCCACAAGGAAACCACTGGGAAACACCTGGGAATCCACTGGGAAAGCACCAGGAAAGGAGTGGGAAACAACCAGGAACCAATGGGGAAACAAGCAGGAAACCACTGGGAACCAATGGAAAGCCAAGGGGGAAGAGGAGCATCCCTGTTCCCATCCCGATCCCATCCCTGTTCCCATCCCGATCCCATCCGGATCCCATCCGTGTTCCCATCCCTGTTCCCATCCCTGTTCCATCCAGATCCATCCTCTCCATCCTGTCCCATCCGGATCCCTCCCTGTCCCATCCCGATCCATCCCTGTCCCATCCCGATCCCATCCCTGTTCCCGTCCCTGTTCCCATCCCGATCCCATCCCTGTTCCCATCCCTGTTCCCATCCCTGTTCCCATCCCTGTTCCCATCCCTGATCCCATCCCTGTCCCGTCCCTGTTCCCATCCCGATCCCATCCCTGTTCCCATCCCTGTTCCCATCCCGATCCCATCCCTGTCCATCCCGATCCATCCTGTCCCATCCCTGTCCCATCCCGATCCAGTCCCTCTCCATCCCTGTTCCATCCCTGTCCCCATCCCTGTTCCCATCCCGATCCCATCCCGATCCATCCTCCATCCCTGTTCCCATCCCGATCCCATCCCTGTTCCATCCCGATCCCATCCCGATCCCATCCCTGTTCCCATCCCTGTTCCCATCCCGATCCATCCCGATCCATCCCGATCCCATCCCTGTTCCCATCCCGATCCCATCCCGATCCCATCCCGATCCCATCCCTGATCCCATCCCTGTTCCATCCCTGATCCCATCCCTGTTCCATCCCTGTTCCCATCCCGAATCCCATCCCGATCCATCCCTGTTCCCATCCCTGTTCCCATCCCGATCCCATCCCGATCCCATCCCGATCCATCCCGATCCCATCCCTCTCCCCCATCCTGTCCATCCCGATCCCATCCCGATCCCATCCGGATCCCATCCCTGTTCCCATCCCTGTTCCCATCCCTGTTCCCATCCCGATCCCATCCCTGTTCCCATCCCTGTTCCCATCCGGATCCCATCCCTGTTCCCATCCCGATCCCATCCCTGTTCCATCCAATCCATCCTCTCCATCCTATTTCCCCATCCCGATCCCATCCCTGTTCCCATCCCTGTTCCCATCCCGATCCCATCCCGATCCCATCCCGATCCCATCCCTGTTCCCATCCCGATCCCATCCCTGTTCCCATCCCGATCCCATCCCGATCCCATCCCTGTTCCCATCCCTGTTCCCATCCCTGTTCCCATCCCTGTTCCCATCTGGATCCCATCCCAATCCCATCCCTGTTCCCATCCCTGTTCCCATCCCTATTCCCATCCCGATCCCATCCCGATCCCATCCCTGTTCCCATCCTGATCCCATCCGGATCCCATCCCTGTTCCCATCCCTGTTCCCATCCCTGTTCCCATCCCTGTTCCCATCCCTGTTCCCATCCCGATCCCATCCCTGTTCCCATCCCGATCCCATCCCTGTTCCCATCCCGATCCCATCCGGACCTGCCCATAGGTGCCCAGCAGCACCTCTGGGTGCCCATCGAAGTCCAGGTCCGGGGTGAGGGCGCAGAGGACGCTGTCGTGGAGGTCACTGCCTGGCAATGGGCACTGCTCCGTCAGGCCCCGGCTCAGCACATCCCTAGGGATAGGGGGGAATGGGGTGGGAAGAGGGGAATGGGGATGGAGAGATTGGAATGGGGATGGAGAGGAGGGAATGGGATGGAGGGGAGGGAATGGGATGGAGGGGATGGGAATGGGATGGAGGGGATGGGATGGAGAGGAGGGAATGGGGATGGAGGGGATGGGATGGAGAGGAGGGAATGGGATGTGATGGAGAGAAGAGGATGTGATGGAGAGATGGGAATGGGATTTAGAGGAGGGAATGGGATGGAGAGATGGGAATGAGATAGAGATGGGAATGGGATGGAGAGGAGAATGATGATGGGAATGGAAGGAGCAGGACGGGGATGGATAAAGGATGATGATGGGAATGGGAACGATGCTGGTACCTATAGACCACACTGAGCTCCATGGTACTGGCCACCAGTACACTGAAGCACGGCTCCACCGCAGCATCTCCTATGGGAATGAGGAAGAGGAGGATGAGGAAGAGCCGGGATGGGCAGGAAAAGGCTGGGAATGGGGGCTCACCCCGCTTGGAAGCATCGGGATACGGCTCCGGTGGTACTGGGAACACCAGTACCTTGGAGATGGGCCCATCCTGTTGGATGCTCCAGCTCTGGAGCACGGCTGTGGGGCAGGGATCAGGCTCCAGGGGGGCATTCCCAATGATGGGAATGACACCAGGAAGCCAAACTGGGGGGGGTAATGGGGACAATGGGATTCCCAACACTGGGAATTCCCACTGGGACTCACTGGGGCCGCTCTGGTCCACGCGGGCGACGCGGACGTGGCCGCTCTGGCAGCCGAAGGCTGTGATCCGATGGGAAGGGGTACTGGGAAGGGTCAGGACGTGGAGCCATAGGATACTGGAAGGGAATGGGGGGAAGTGTTGGGGAATAGGAGGAGATGGGGAGATGAGGAGGTGGGAGGAATGGAGGAGGGAATGGGGGGAATGGAAAGAGAAGGATGAGGAAATCAGGTGGATGGAGGAAGTGGAGGGAATGAGAGGGAATAAATTCCTCAGTGGAAGTGGAAATGGAAGGGAAATCCAGGAAGTGGATATAGAAGTGGGATAAGGAAATGCAGGGGAACGGGGGTGGGGAATGGGGGTGGGAATGGGGGAGGAATGAAAAGGGAATGGGAGAAATGGAGGAAATGGCAGGGATGGGAGTGGAAGAGGGAGTGGAGGGAAGCAGAAGAGGGGAGTGGAAATGGGAGGGAAATAGAAGAGGGAGATCAAGGCAAAATAGGATGGGATAAAAGGAAGAGATGAGAAGGGATGGGAGGAAATGGGAAGGGGATGGGAAATGGAAAGAGAAGGTCAAATGGGTAGGAAGTGTGGAGGGAGTGGAAGGAGGAATGGAGGAAATGGATAGAGAAATGAGAGAGAAATGTGATGGAATCAGAGAAATGGGAAGGAATGGGATCAAATGTAAGGAGAAATGCGTACAGAAATGGGAGTCAAATGGGAAGAAATTGATTAAGAAATAGGAGAAATTAAATAAGAAATGGGAGGAATGGAAAAGGGGAATGGGGAATCCGTAGGAATGGAGGGAATAGGATAAAATGAGATCAGGAATCAGAAAGATGATGCAAATAGGAGAAATGGAGATGGGGAAATGGAGAGAAATGGAAAGAGAAATGGGGAATTGGAGGAAGTGGAACAATCCAATTGCAGATGGGAGGAAATGAGATCAGAAGGGAGAAATAGGAAGAGGATGGGAAGATGGGGGAGGGAATGGAAGTGAATTGAGTGGGAGTGGGATGGGAAACCCATGGCCCCTCTCCTATCTGCTCCTCCAACCATCACCTGGACTCCAAGAAGAGCAGGTGGGTGACTCTGCCTGAACTGGGTGGACTCATGAATGCTGGAGGGGAGGGAGGGGCAGGAGAAGGGAAGGGAAGGGAAGGGAAGGGACAGGGAAGGGGAGGGGAAGGGGAAGGGGGAAGGGGAAGGGGAAAAGAAGGGGAAGGGAAAGGGGAAGGGAATGGGGGGGCTGGGTCAGGAATGGGGGGGCTGGGTCAGGGAATGGGGAGATGAGCAGGAATGGGGGGGCTGGAGTCAGATGGGGGGTTGGGTCAGGGAATGGGGGGATGGAGCAGGGAATGGGGAGAGTGGGTCAGGATGGGGAGCTGAGGCAGGGAATGGGGGGGATGGAGCAGGGAATGGGGGGGCTGGGTCAGGGAATGGGGGGGCTGGAGCAGGGAATGGGGGGGATGGGTCAGGGAATGGGGGGGCTGGGTCAGGAATGGGGGGGCTGGGTCAGGGAATGGGGGGGCTGGGTTGGGGATGGGGAGATGGTCGGGAATGGGGGGCTGGAGCAGGAATGGGGGGGCTGGGTCAGGGCTGCTCTCACCTCCTTGTAGAGGTGCACGGCCGGGTCATTGCCACTGAGCAGGAAAACGGTCTCGAGGCGCTCACCGCTGCGGACCCTGGAGATGGGATAGGGGGGATATGGGGTATATGGGGTATGGGGGATATGGGGATATGGGGGGTATGGGGTATGGGGGATATGGGGGGTATGGGGTATATGGGGTATGGGGTATGGGATATATGGGGTATGGGGGATATAGGGGATATGGGGGATATGGGATATATGATATGGGATATATGGGATATGGGGTATGGGGAATATGGGGTATATGGGGTATATGGCATGTGGGGTATATGGGATATGGGGTATATGGGATATAGGGTATATGGGATAAGGGGTATATGGGGTATGGCGTATATGTGGTATGGTGTATACGGAATGTGGGGTATATGGGATATGGGGGATGTGGGATACATGGGATATATGGGATACGGGATATAAGCTATGGAGGATGGGGACGCACTCAGCGTGGCAGAGCTGGAAGGGGGTGAACTGCAGCTCCAGGTTGAGGCAACTCTCTGGGGGGGGGAGAGATGAGAAAGATGGGGGGGGCACCCCAAAACCACCCCAAAACCCCCCTTAAACCACCCCAAAGCCACCCAAAACCACCCTAAAATCACCCCAAACCACCCTAAAATAACCCCAAACCACCCTAAACCACCCTAAAACCACCCAAAACCAACCCAAAAACCACCCCAATAACCATCCCAAAACCACCCCAAAGCCACCCTAAAATCAGCCCAAAACCGCCCCAAAATCAACCTAAAACCACCCTAAAATCACCCCAAAACCACCCCAAATCACCCTAAAACCACCCCAAAACCACTCTAAAACCACAGCAAAACCACTCTAAAACCTCCCCAAAACGATCCAAAACCACCCTAAAACCACCCCAAAGCCACCCTAAAACCACCCCAAAACCACCCTAAAACCACCCTAAAATCACCAAAACCACCCCAAAACCGCCAAAACCACCCCAAAACCACCCTAAAATCACCAAAACCACCCCAAAACCACCCTAAAAGCACCCCAAAACCACCCTAAAACCACCCAAATCACCCTAAAACCACCCCAAAGCACCCAAAATGACCCAAAATGGCCCCAAATGACCCAAAATGGCCTAAAATGACCCAAAATGGCCCAAAATGGCCCAAAATGGCCCAAAATGACCCAAAGCACCCAAAATGGCCCAAAATGCCCCCAAATGAGCCCAAAGCACTCACGGGCCACGGAGTCGAGGTCGTACTCGGAGCCTGGCTCGTAGTCACAGTAGATGTTGAGGAAGGGGCTGGGCTTGTCCCCGGAGTCCTGGGGGGGCAATGAGCATGGGGGGGCTATGCAGCCTGTGGGCTCTTGGGGTTCTATGGGGGGTGACAGGGGCTGCTGTGGGTCTATGGGGCTTTTATGGTGTCTGTGGGGCTCTAGAGGGTTTTTATGGGGTCTATGGGGCTCTATGGGGTTTTTATGGGGTCTATGGGGCTCTATGGAGTCTCTATGGGGTCTATGGGGCTCTAGGGGGTTTTTACGGGGTCTATGGGGCTCTATGGGATTTTTATGGGTTCTATGGGGCTCTATGGGGTTTTTATGGGGTCTATGGGGCTCTATGGGGTCTATGGGGTCTATGGGGCTCTGTGGGGCTCTATGGGGATCTGTAGGGCCTATAGGGGTCTATGGGTCTATAGGGATCTGTGGGGTCTATGGGGTCTATAGGGATCTATAGGGGTCTATGGGGGTCTAAGGGTCTCTATGAAGCTCTATGGGCTCTATAGGGGTCTATGGGACTCTATGGAGGTCTATGGGCTCTATGGGGTGTCCAGGGGTCTATGGAGCATTATGGGGTCTACAAGGGTCTGTGTGGCTCTATGCGGTCTACAGGCATCTATGGGTGTCTATGGGCTCTATAGGGGTCTATAAGGGTCTATGGGGTGTCTATAGGGCTCTATGGGGTACCTTGATGAAGGTGATGCCCACAACGAGCCCGCGCTGGGGTGGGGACTTGGGGAAGGAATCGATGGAGACGATCTCAGCATCCACTGCAGGCATGGGGGGGGTCAGTGGGGAGCAGCCACCCCATAGAGACCCATAGAAACCCCATAGAGACCCATAGAAACCCCATGGAGACCCACAGAGACCTCATAAAGACCCATAGAAACCCATAAAGACCTCATAGAGACCAATAGAGACCTTAGAGTGACCCATGGAGACCACATAGAGACCCATAGAGATCCCATAGAGACCCCTAGAGATCCCATAGAGATCCCATAGAGACCTATAGCCCCTATAGACACCCTATAGTCCCCCATAGACACCCTACAGACACCCATAGCTCCCCATACACACCCATGGACACTCACAGCCCCCCGCAGACACCTATAGCCCCCCACAGATGCCCTATAGACACCCACAGACACCCTATAGACACCCATAGCCCCCCACAGAAGCCCTATAGACACACATAGGCCACTATAGACATGCATAGCCCCCCCCCAGATGCCCTATAGACACCCACAGCCCCCCACAGATGCCCTACAGACACCCATAGCCCCCTATAGACACCCAAAGACACCCTACAGACACCCATAGATGCCCTATAGACACCCATAGCCCCCTATAGACCCCCACAGACTCGCCTAGATGCCCTATAGACACCCACAGACTCTCTTAGATGCCCTATAGACACCCACAACCCCCTATAGACACCCACAACCCCCTATAGACACCCACAGACTCCCCTAGATGCCCTATAGACACCCACAGACTCCCCTAGATGCCCTACAGACACCCATAGCCCCCTATAGACACCCAAAGACACCCTACAGACACCCATAGATGCGCTACAGACACCCATAGATGCCCTATAGACGCCCATAGGTGCCCTCTGCCCCCCCCCGGTGCTGACCCGGGATGTAGGTGAACTGGAGCTCGCTGGCGAGCGGGCGCATGCGCCCCTGGAGCTCGTGGTACCGGAAGTGAATGACCTTGCCCTTGAGGGCGGCCGCCAGGAGCCCGCCGGGCCCTTCTTCCCCCGCCGGCAGCGCCGCCAGCCCGTACACGTTACTCTGCGAGCTCAGGCGGCTGAAGCTGTCCTCGGCCAGCGGGCACCGACCGGGCAGCGCCATCGGGAACCGGGAGCGAGCGGGGAACAACGGGAGGGGAAACGGGAAGGGTAACCGGGAGGGGGAACCGGGAGCAGGCCCCGCCGCGCCGCCGCCGCCTGAGGCGAGGCTCCGCCCACTGCTGGGAGGGGCCTGGAGACACCGCGGAGAGCGGAGGCTCCGCCTATTGTGGGCGGAGCTTTCAAGGAGCGCCATGGAATTGGGTGAAGGAGAGGCTCCGCCCATTGTGGGAGGGGCGTTGAGATACCGCGCGTATTGGCTCCGCCCACTTGTGCCACCGGGAGCAGGCCCTGTCGCACCGCCTGAGGCGAGGCTCCACCCACTGGTGGGAGGGGCCTGGAGACACCGCGGAGAGCGGAGGCTCCGCCCATTGGGGCGGACCTTTGAATGACTCGAGCAATTAGAGCGCAAAGAGGCTCCGCCCATTGTGGGCGGGGCTTTGTGTGACTTCGCCCGTTGTGGACAGGGAGTTCAAGGAGCGCTCTCTCATTGGGTTAAGGGGAGGCTCCGCCCCCTTATGGGCAAGGCTAGTAGAGGCTCCGCCCCCTGTAGGCGTGGCCTTAGGGAAGGGGCGGGGCTAACAGGCCTCAATGGGGGCCAACAGGGACCATGGGGATGTGGGGCAGGAGCATGGTCCCTGCTCCCCCCCAGTGTGTGGGGCAGGGACTTAGGGGGCAGGGGGGATCCTTCCCCCCCCTAATGTGTGGGGCAGGCTCCGCTCATGCTCCGCTTTATTTGCCTTTGGGAAGAGGGATACAGGCGGGAGAGCCCCTGCCCCATGGAGCAGCATCCTCTTCCTCTCCCCCCTCCCCATTGAATCCAGAGGGGCCCATTCCAAAGGGCAGGAATAGGGAAAGCCCATTAAATACATGCGGGGGGCTGGGAGGGGGGGGTCAGTTCCAGGAGTTGGGAATGCCACTGGGAATACTGGGAATGGTCCTAACGCAGATCCTCCTCCTCTCCTTGGATGGTCTTCTTGATGCGGAGCAGCATGGTGGTGAGCCACTGGTCCAGGCGGGAGATGGAGTCGTATTCCTTCACCTGGGAACAGGATAATGGGAAGTGGGGAACGGAAGCTGATGCTTCCCAGATGTGGGAATGGGGGCGCGGGACCCACCGCATCCGTGTATCCGTCCACGTTCTGCTCCTCGTGGGCTTCCAGGAGTTTCTATGGGGGAAAGGGGGAATGGGAAGGTGTTATGGGGGCGGCGTTCCTAAAGGGTGGAATTGGGGTGATGGGATATGGGGTCGGGGGGGCGCACCTTGAGGAGTTTGAGGTTGGGAGTCGGGGAAGAGCTGGGAACATGTCCTAGTGCTCTGCATAGATGGCCAGCTGGGGGGAGAGGGGGGAAGAGTGGGAATGGGAGAGGGAGGGATGGGGGGGAAGTGGGAATGGGAGAGGGGGGGATGGGGGGAAGTGGGAATGGGGAGGGAGGGATGGGGGGGAAGTGGGAATGGGAGAGGGAGGGATGGGGGGAAGTGGGAATGGGAGAGGGGGGGATGGGGGGGAAGTGGGAATGGGAGAGGGGGGGATGGGGGGAAGTGGGAATGGGAGAGGGGGGGATGGGGGGGAAGTGGGAATGGGAGAGGGGGGAGTGGGGATGGAGTGGGAATGGGAAGGGGGGGTGGGGATGGAGTGGGAATGGAGAGGGGGGATGGGGGAAGTGGGAATGGGGAGGGGGGGATGGGGGGAAGATGGGAATGGGAGGGAGGATGGGGATGGAGACTGAGAATGGGAGAGGGGGGGATGGGGATGGAGTGGGAATGGGGGAAGGAGAGATGGGGGGAAAATGGGAGTGGGGAAGGGGGGGATGGGGATGGAGACGGAGATGGAGATGGGGAAGGGGGGGTGGGGAAAATGGAAATGGGAGGGGGGAGTGGGATGGAGTTGGGAATAGGAAGGGAGGGATGGAGGGAGAAGTGGGAAGTGGGAGGGAGGGATGGGGGAAATTGGGAATGTGGGAAGGAGGTGGGGGGGAAGTGGGAATGGGAGAGGGAGGGATGGGGATCGAGTAGGGAATGGGGAAGGAAGGGGGTGGGAGAAGTGGGAATGGGAGGGGGAGTGGGGGAAGTGGGAAGTGGGAAGGGGGGTGGGAGAAGTGGGAATGGGAAGGGAGAGGGATGGGGGGAAAATCGAAATGGGAGGGGGATGAGGAGAAGTGCAATGGGGAAGGGAGAGGGATGGAGAAGTGGAAGTGGAAAGGAGGGGGATAGGGGGAGATTGAAAATGGAGAGAAGGAATGGGGGAAATTGGAAGTGGGAGAGGAAGGAATAGCAATGGAGTGGAATGGAGAAGGAGGATGGGGGGAAGATGGAAGTGGAAAGAGAGGGGGGTGGGGAGAAGTGGAATGTGGGAAGGAAGGAATAGGGGGAAGATGGGAATGGAAAGAGGGGGTGGGAGAATGGAAGTGGGAAGGAAGGGATGGGGGAGGATGGAAATAAGGGGAAGAGAGAGGGATGGGGGAAGATGGGAATGGAAGGGGAGTGGGGAGGATGGAAATGGGAGGGATCAAGAGGGAAAATGGGAATGGGAAGGAGAAATGAGGAGAAGTTGGAAGTGGGAAGAGAAGATGGGGAAGAGTTGGGAATGAGGAAAGGAGGAGTGGGAAGAGTGGAAGTGGAAGGAGGGAGTGGGAAGATGGGAAGTGGGAAGGGGGTGGGGAAGATGGGAATGGGAGGAGAAATAGAACAGGATAGAACAGGATGAGGAGTCGGATAAAGAACAAGAATAGCAAGAACAAGGGATGAAATCAGAATAAAGAATCAAGCACAGGGATGTAAATAGGAGTAAAAAGAATGAGGCACAAGAAATGATGGGGACCAAATCGCCAAGCAAAGAGATAGATAGGAACTCAATAAGGACACAGGGAATAGATGGGGACCCAAATCCAAGCCAATCCACCGAACAAAAGGGATGGATCCAACTTGGATGAGCACAGGAATAGATGAGAACCCGGTAAGAACCAGATAGACAAAGGGATTAAGGACGAAAGAGATAAATCCAAACAAGGATAAGAACGGGGATGGATCAACTGGATTGGGCAAAAGGAATGATGAGAAACAAGGGATAAAGAAGCACAAAGAAATAATAAGAACCGGATAAGGAGCACAGGGAATAAGATAAGAACAGGATGAAGCCGGGGATGGATGGCAACAGGATAAAGCAATTAGGCACAAAGAAATAATCAGACTGGGATAAGAAGCACGCGGAATAAATACAAAAACGGATAAAGAACAAAATGATGGGGACCAGGATGAGGACTGGGATAAGGAGCACAAGGGATGGATGAGGACCGGGATGAGGAGCACAGGGGATGGATGGGGACCGGGATGGGGACCGGGATGGGGACCGGACGTGCCCCGGGGGTACCTTGGCGTTGAGGGCATCGATGCAGAAGTGGCAGAGGGCGGCCCTGAAGAAGTGCTCCTTGGCGCTGTACTTGAGCAGGGGGGAGTCCATGGCTGCGGCCGCCACCTGCGGGATAGCAGGGAATGGATGGGAATGCCATGGGAATGCCATAGGGATAGCAGGGAATGGATGGGAATGCCATGGGAATGCCATAGGGATAGCAGGGAATGGATGGGAATGCCATGGGAATGCCATGGGAATGCCATGGGATAGCAGGGAATGGATGGGAATACCATGGGAATGCCATAGGAATGCCATAGGAATGCCATAGGGATAGCACGGAATGGATGGGAATGCCATGGGAATGCCATAGGGATAGCAGGGAATGGATGGGAATGCCATAGGGATAGCAGAGAATGGATGGGAATGCCATAGGGATAGCAGAGAATGGATGGGAATGCCATGGGAATGCCATAGGGATAGCAGGGAATGGATGGGAATGCCATAGGGATAGCAGAGAATGGATGGGAATGCCATGGGAATGCCATAGGGATACAGGGAATGAATGGGAATAATGAGAATGCCATAGGAATACAGGGGAATGGATGGGAATGCCATGGGAATGTGCCAGATGGGATAGCAGGGAATGGATGGGAATGCCATGGGAATGGGATGGGATAGCACGATGGAAAGGAAATGCGATGGGAATGCCATAGGGATAGCACGGAATGGATGGGAATGCCATGGGAATGCCATAGGGATAGCAGGGAATGGCATGGGAATGCCATAGGGATAGCAGGGAATGGATGGGAATGCCATGGGAATGCCATGGGGATAGCAGGGAATGGATGGGAATGCCATGGGAATGCCATAGGGATAGCAGGGAATGGATGGGAATGCCATGGGAATGCCATAGGAATGCCATGGGAATGCCATAGGGATAGCAGGGAATGGATGGGAATGCCATAGGGATACCATGGGAACATAATGGGAATATCATAGGGATGCCATGAGAATACCATGGGGATATCATAGGGATAACATGGGAATATCATGAGAATATAATAGGAATACCATACGGATCTCATACAAACACCATACAAATACCATATGGGTATCTTAGGAAAACCATGGGGATAACATAAGAACACCATAGGAATACCATATTGATATTATAGGAACACCGTGAGAATATAATGGGATATCATGGGAATACCACAGGGTTATTATAACAGCACCATACAAATATCCTATAAATACCATAGGGATACCCTAGGAATACCATGGGATACCATAAAGACAGCATAGGGACAGGTCATGGAGAGAGGAAAGAAAGGGAAAAGGAAAGGAAAGGGGAAGGGAAAGGGGAAGGGAAAGGGGAAGGGAAAGGGGAAGGGAAAGGGGAAGGGAAAGGGGAAAGGAAGAAGGGGAAGGGAAAGGGAGAGGGAAAGGAAAGGGAGAGGGAAGGAGAAAGGGAGAAGGAAGAGGGAAGGGAAAGGAAGGGGAAAGGGGAAGGGGAAGGGAAAGGGGAAGGGAAAAGGGAAAGGAAAGGGGAAAGGAAAGGGGAAGGGAAAGGGGAAGGGAAAGGGAAGGGGAAAGGGAGAGAGGGAAGGGAAAGGGAAAGGGAGAGGGGAAGGAAGGGGAAGGGAAAGGGGAAGGGAAAGGGAAAGGGAAAGGGGAAGGGAAAGGGGAAGAGGAAAGGGGAAGAGGGAAAGGGGAAAGAGGGAAGAGGGAAGGGAAGGGGAAAGAGGAAGGGAAGGGAAAGGGGAAGAGGGAGAGGGGAAAGGGAAAGGGGAAGGGAAAGGGGAAGGGAAAAGAAAAGGCAAAGGGGAAAGGGGAAGGGGAAGGGAAAGGGAAAGGGAAGAGGAAGGGGAAAAGGAGAGGAAGGGAAGGGAAGGGAAAGGGGAAGAGGGAAGGGGAAAAGGGGGAAAGGAAAAGGAGAAGAAGGAAGGGAAAGGGGAAAGGGGAAAGGAAAGGGGAAGAGGAAAGGGGAAGAGGAAAGGGGAAGGGGAAGGGGAAGAGGAAAGGGGAAGGGAAAGGGGAAGGGGAAGGGGAAGGGGAGAGGGGAAGGGAAAGGGGAAGGGAAAGGGGAAGAGGAAAGGGGAAGGGGGAAGGGGAAGGGGAAGGGAAAGGGGAAGGGAAAGGGAAGGGGAAAGGGAGAGGGAAAGGGGAAGGAGAAGGAAGGAGATCGGCCCCGTTCCAAGCTTCAAGGGACAAGGGTCTCTCCCGTCCACCTGCATAGATCTCGAGGGCGCCAGGTTCTACCACTACGCCGCGAACGTGACCACCTTCACAGGCACTTCTTGGCCGAGCTGTGGGAGACCCGGAATGCCAAATGCTGAATACTAGGAATGGCAAGAATATAGGAATCAGGAATGCCGCAGGGCTAGGAATTGCTGCGGAATGGTTGGGATACCTGGGAAATACTGGGAATGCTGTAAGGCGCTCAGAATGTGGGATGGCAAATATGGGAATGCAGGAAATGCAGAAGATGCTGGATGTCTGGGAATCAAGAGGAATAATGCGAATACTGGGAATGCAGAATGCTAGGAATGCTGGGAATCATGGGGATACTTGGGAATACTGGGAATGCAGAGCGCTCAAAATATCAAATGGCAAATATGGGAATGCTTGGGAATGCCAAGAGCGCGCTTGGGAACCTTGGGAATGACGAGAATGGGAATACTTGGGAATCCCGACAGGTGCTTGAATGTGGAATCATGGGGATACTTCAAATGCCGGAAATGCCGATCCTCCGATGCTGGGAATGGTAGGTGCTGCAAATGCACGGGAATGCCGAAGCACTGAATGCTGGGAATGAAAATATGGGAATACTGGGGAATCCTCTGGGGTTCCTCAAATATAGGGAATGGTCAAATATGGGAAATGCAGAGTATAGGAATGCTGGGAATAGTGGGGATACTGGGAATACTGGGAATGCCGCAGGCGCTAGGAATGCTGGGAATAGTGGGGATACTGGGAATACTGGGAATGCTGCAGGTGTAGATGCTACGGGAATGGTGGGATACTGAAATATGGAAATGCCAGGGTCCTTGAAATACTGGGAATGGGGATCATGGAGATGGCAATTATGGGAATAGCAGGGATACTCGGAATACCGGGAATGATGGGAACAATGGAATACTGGGAATGCTGGGAATACCGCCAGTGCTAGGAATGCTGGGAATAGTGGGGATGCTGGGAATAGCAGGGATGCTGGGAATACTGGGAATGATGGGAACAATGGAATACTGGGAATGCCGGGAATACCGCCAGTGCTAGGAATGCTGGGAATAGCAGGGATGATGGGAATGCCGGTAATAGCAGGGATGCTGGGAATACCAGGAATGATGGGAATGATGGAATACTGGGAATGCCTCCAGTGCTAGGAATGCTGGGAATAGCGGGAATAGTGGGAATAGGAGGGATGCTGGGAATACCGGGAATGATGGGAACAATGGAATACCGGGAATGCCACAAGTGCTAGGAATGCTGGGAATAGCAGGGATGCTGGGAATACTGGGAACAGTGGGCATGCTGGGAATAGCAGGAATGCTGGGAATAGCAGGGATGATGGGAGTAGCGGGAATGATGGGAACGATGGAATACTGGGAATGCCTCCAGTGCTAGGAATGCTGGGAATAGCAGGGATGCTGGGAATACCGGGAATAACAGAAATACCAGGAATGCTGGGAATACTGGGATACCGGGAATGCTGGGAATACTGGGAATGCTATGAATACCAAGGATGCTGGGAATACCAGGGATAGCGGGAATGATGGGAATACCGGGAATGGTGGGAATACCGCTCCCCATCAGGAACCCCACATTGCCCCATTGGGACCTTCCCACTCTCCCCTCCGCCCCCCATATTCCACCAAAGGGGTGCTTGTTTGTTGGGAATCGTGTTGGGAATCAAGTCAGGAATCCCATTGGGAATCGCATCGGGAATGGCATTGGGATTGTGATGGGAATTGCGTCGGGATTGCTTTGGGAATGGCATCAGGAATCACGTCAGGAATGATGTCGGGAATCGAGTCGGGAATGGTGTCGGGAATCCCGTCGGGAATCATGTTGGGAAAGGCGTCAGCAATCATGTTGGGAATCCCATTGGGAATCAAGTCGGGAATAGTGTCAGGAATAGTGACGGGAATCAAGTTGGGAATGGTGTCGGGAATCCCGTCAGGAATGGCGTTGGGATTGCATCAGGAATCCTGTTGGGATGGCTTTGGGAATGGAGTCGGGAATCATGTTGGGAATCTCATTGGGAATCAAGTCGGAATGGTGTCCGGAATCCCGTTGGGAATGGCGTTGGGATTGCGCTGGGAATCCCGTCGGGAATGGCATCAGGAATCCCATTGGGATCACTTTGGCAATCCCATTGGGAATCAAGTCGGGAATGGCGTCAGGAATCCTGTCAGGATGGCTTTGGGAATGGCATCGGGAATCCCGTCGGGAATCATGTCGGGAATCATATTGGGAATGGCATTGGGATTGCATTGGGAATCCCATCGGGATGGCTTTGGGAATGGCGTCGGGAATCATGTTGGGAATCCCATCGGGAATCAAGTCAGGAATGGCATTGGGATTGTGCTGGGAATCCCATCGGGATGGCTTTGGGAATGGCGTCGGGAATCATGTTGGGAATCCCATCGGGAATCAAGTCAGGAATGGCATTGGGATTGCATTGGGAATCCCATTGGGATGGCTTTGGGAATGGTGGCGGGAATCATGTTGGGAATCCCATCGGGAATCAAGTCGGGAATGGTGTCCGGAATCCCATTGGGAATGGCATTGGGATTGCGTTGGGAATCCCGTCGGGATCACTTTGGGAATCCCATCAGGAATGGCATCGGGAATCAAGTTGGGAATGGCGTTGGAAATTGCATCGGGAATGGTGTCAGGAATCCCATCGGGAATGGCGTTGGGATTGCGTCGAGAATCCCATCGGGATCGCTTTGGGAATGGCGTCAGGAATCATGTTGGGAATCCCATCGGGAATCAAGTCGGGAATCCCATTGGGAATGGTGACGGGAATCAAGTTGGGAATCCCGTCGGGATGGCTTTGGGAATGGCGTTGGGAACCAAGTTGGGAATGGTGTCGGGAATGGTGACGGGAATGAAGTCAGGAATGGTGTTGGGAATCCCATCGGGAATGGTGTCGGGAATCATGTTGGGGATCCCATTGGGAATCCCGTTGGGAATGGCATTGGGATTGTGCTGGGAATCCCGTCGGGATGGCTTTGGGAATGGTGTCGGGAATCCCGTTGGGAATGGCATCAGGAATCCCATTGGGATCACTTTGGCAATCCCATTGGGAATCAAGTCGGGAATGGCGTCAGGAATCCTGTCAGGAATCATGTTGGGAATCATGTTGGGAATGGCATTGGGATTGCATTGGGAATCCCATCGGGTTGGCTTTGGGAATGGCGTCGGGAATCATGTTGGGAATCCCATCGGGAATCAAGTCAGGATTGGCATTGGGATTGCATTGGGAATCCCATTGGGATGGCTTTGGGAATGGCGTCGGGAATCATGTTGGGAATCCCATCGGGAATCAAGTCGGGAATGGTGTCCGGAATCCCATTGGGAATGGCATTGGGATTGCGCTGGGAATCCCGTCAGGAATCAAGTCGGGAATGGGGTCAGGAATCCCATTGGGATGGCATTGGGAATGGCGTCGGGAATCCCGTTGGGAATGGCATTGGGATTGCATTGGGAATCCCATCGGGATGGCTTTGGGAATGGCATTGGGAATGGCGTCGGGAATGGTGTCGGGAAAGGTGTCGGGAATCCCGTTGGGAATGGCGTTGGGAATCCCATCGGGAATGGCACTGGGATTGCATCGGGAATCCCATTGGGAATGGCATTGGGAATGGCGTCGGGAATGCCGTTGGGAATGGCATTGGGATTGTGCTGGGAATCCCGTCGGGACTTCCGTTGGGAATGGCGTGTGGCCGCGGCATTCCCATGGTTCCTACCTGTTGGATTCCTCGCCCCGGTAATAATCGGCCGCCTGCTCGTAGTGGGCGATGGCCTGGGAGAAACACGGGAAAGGCTGGAGAATTCCCAAGGAAATCCCTATGGAGCCGCCCCCCCCCCCGCCATGGGAATGGGGAGGGAGCCGCTGCTCCGGCACCATTGATCCCAATGGTGTTCCATAGGGATGAATCCCAACCTTTAATCCTTAAGGGCAATTCCCAATGGTATTCCATAGGGAGAAATCCCAACCTTTAACCCTTAAGGGCAATTCCCAATGGTATTCCATAGGGATAAATCCCAACATTTAACCCCTAAGGGCCATTCCCAATGTTATTCCCTAAGGATAAATCCCAACCTTCAATCCTTAAGGGCAATTCCCAATGGTATTCCATAGGGATAAACCCCAACCTTCAATCCTTAAGGGCAATTCCCAATGGTATTCCATAAGGGAAAATCCCAATGTCATCCCCTAAGGGCAATTCCCAATGTTATTCCCTAAGGATAAATCCCAGCAGCTCCCTATGGGAATGCCAGGACCCCCCCCCCCCCCACCTTGAGGGTTATTCCCAAGAGCCGGAATTCCCATCCCATTCCCATCCCATTCCCATCCCATTCCCATCCCATTCCCATCCCATTCCCATCCCATTCCCATTCCCATCCCATTCCCATCCCATTCCCATCCCATTCCCATCCCATTCCCATCCCATTCCCAACTCACCTTCTCCATGTCCACCAGCTCGGTCTCGTAGATCTCGGCTATGGAGACGTGGTGCTTGGCGGCGATGGTGAAGCGGCCCTGGGAGCGGTGGGATACTGGGAATGGCGCCCATCCCGGAGCCGGCATTCCCAATGGATCCGCTCCGGGATACAGCACTCACCATGTCCGTGTAGATCTCAATGGCGCGCAGCAAGCAGTTGATGGCCTCTATAGGGGGTGAAGAGAGAATCCCAATGGATACTGGGAAGGGATGGGTGGGATACTGGGAAGGGTGGGTGGGATACTGGGAAGGGTGGGATGGGATACTGGGAAGGGATGGGTGGGATGCTGGGAAGGGATGGGTGGGATGCTGGGAAGGGATGGGTGGGATGCTGGGAAGGGAGGGATGGGATACTGGGAAGGGACGGATGGGATACTGGGAAGGGACGGATGGGATACTGGGAAGGGATGGATGGGATACTGGGAAGGGAGGGATGGGATATTGGGAAAAGATGGATGGGATATTGGGAAGGGATGGATGGGATACTGGGAAGGGAGGGATGGGATACTGGGAAGGGAGGGATGGGATACTGGGAAGTTCTTCCCTATGGAACTACTGGGATGAATGGAGAAGCCTGGGATGCTCCAGCCCTGCCGGGATCCAATGGGATCCGTTGGAATGGGCTGGATATGGAGGAGCCCTTGGGATTCAATGGGAGATCCCAAAGGGGTAGTGGGAATACTGGGATATCCAATGGGAATGGCAAAGCTTAGATCCCATTCCTCACTTTGGGATACCCCAACTTGTAACCGGAGCCACCAGGATAAGAAGCTGCTCCATAACCTTGGAATGGCTCCATCCCATTGGAATGGCTCCATCCCATTGGAAGGGTTCCATCCAATCAGAATGGCTCCATCCCATTGGAATGGCTCCATCCCCTTGGAATGACTGCATCCCATTGGAATGGTTCCATCCAATCGGAATGGCTCCATCTGCTTGGAATGACTTCATCCCTTTGGGATGACTCCATTCTATTAAAATAGCTCCATCCCTTTGGAATGACTCCATCCCATTGGAATTACTTCATCCAATTGGAATAGCTCCATCCCATCGGAATGGCTCCATCCCTTTGGAATGACTCCATCCAATCGGAATGGCTCCATCCCTTTGGAATAACTTAATCCCATTGGATTGGCTCCATCCCTTTGGAATAACTTAATCCCATTAGAATGGCTCCATCCCTTTGGAACAACTTAATCCCATTGGAATGACTCCATTGCATTGGATTCACTTCAACCAATTGGAATAGCTCCATCCCTTTGCGATGGCTCCATCCCATTGGAATGACTGCATCCCATGGGAATGGTTCCATCCAACTGGAATGGCTCCATCCCATTGGACTGACTTCAACCAATCAGAATGACTTCATCCCATTGGAACGACTCCATCCCATTGGAACGGCTCCATCCCATTGGAACGGCTCCATCCCAACAGCTGCTCCCCCCCTCAGAACCAAACCATGCATGACCCAAGCCACAATCCCAATCCCAATCCCTCCGGCTCCAGCCACCTGCTCTCCATAGGGATCCCCACATGGAAAAGCACACCCATTCCCACCCCTCCCAGCACACAGGGGCTAACCCCCCATTCAGGGGACAAATCCCATTGGATCCACACCAAAAGGAACCAGATCGGGAAGCTCCCATTGGAAAAATGGGTCCGGAATTCCCAGTTTATACCTTGTGGATCCGCTTTCTTGAAGGCATTCCCAGCATCCACAAAGCTGGTGGCGGCGTCGTGCTTGCTCTGCAGCTGCAGGTGGAGCTGGGCCGCTTGGCAAAAGGCATTCCCGGCGGCTGGAATTCCATAGGGAAAAATAGGGGGGGGGTTATTCCCAATGGTGGGAATGGGGGGGGGGGGGGAGGGGGAACTGGGAATGGCGACGCACCGCTCCAGTTCTTGGCCATCTTGAACATGTTGGCGGCGCGGGAGTAGGTGTCGCAGGCTTCCTCGATTCGGGAATTGCCCCTGGGAGGGGAGGGAATGGCAATGGGGATGGGGGATGGATGGGGATGGGAAAGGAAAGGGAAGGGATCCAGGAGGGGAATCAATGGGGATGGGGATGGGGAAGGGATCCAATGGGAGAAAGGGGGAAGTGGATCCCATGGCAATGGGGAGGGGGATCCAATGGGAATGGGGAAGGGGAGGGATCCAATGGGAATGGGGGGGATCCAATGGGAATGGGGAAGGGGGGGAAGTGGATCCAATGGGAATGGGGGGGATCCAATGGGGATGGGGAAGGAGGGGGATCCAATGGGGATGGGGATGGGGAAGGGGGGGGGATCCAATGGGAATGGGAATAGGGAAAGGGAGAAGTGGATCCCTTGGGAATGGGGGGGATCCAATGGGAATGGGGATGGGGAATGGGGGGATCCAATGGGAATGGGGGGGATCCAATGGGGATGGGGAAGGGGGGAAGTGGATCCCATGGGAATGGGGAGGGGGATCCAATGGGAATGGGGATGGGGGGGAATGGATCCCATGGGAATGGGATCCAATGGGGAATGGGGGGATCCAATGGGGATGGAGGGAAGGAGGGGGGGTCCAATGGGAACGGGGATGGGGAAGTGGGGAGGTCCAATGGGAATGGCGAAGGGGGGGGATCCAATGGGAATGGGGGGATCCAATAGGAATGGGGATGGGGAAGGGAAGGGGAAGTGGATCCCATGGGAATGGGGGGGGGGAGATGGGCCTAAAGGTGGGGTCACTGAGGGTGCTGGTGCCTCTATGGAGCCCCACTGAGCACCTATAGGGCCCCATAGAACGCCTATAGGGCTCCCTTGAGCACCTAGAGAGGCCCACTGAAGCCCTATAGAACCACATTGCACCCCATAGAGCCCCACGGCACCCCTATAGAACCCCAGTGAGCCACATTAGACCCCACTGAACCCCTATAGAACCCCTATAGACCCCATCACGGCCTGCCTGCACCCCTGTAGATCCACACTGAACCCCATTAAAGCCCATAGCATCCCTATAGGCCCCCACTGACACCCATCAGAGCCCACAGTATCCCTATAGGGCTCTATTAGAGCCCATTAGACCCCCACTGACCCCTATTACAGGCCCCTGCACCCCTACAGACCCACATTAGATCCCCATAGGCCCCCATTACAGCCCCTTGCACCCCTACAGACCCCCATTGACCGCCATTACAGCCCCTTGCACCCCTATAGACCCCCATTAAACCCCCATAGGCCCGCATTACAGGTCCCTGAACCCCTATAGACCCCCATTGACCCCCATTACAGGCCCCTGCACCCCTACAGACCCCCATTATAGCCCATTAGACCCCAATAGGCCCCCATTACAGGCCACTGCACCCCTATAGGCCCCCATTATAGCCCATTACACCCCCATTGACCCCCATTACAGGCCCATGCACCCATATAGCCCCCCATTAGAGCCCATAGGCCCACACTGACACCCATTAGGACCCCATTAACCCCCATTAGACCCCCACTGACCTCCCTTACAGGCCGCTGCACCCCAATAGACCCCCATTAGAGCCCATTGGCCCCCATTAGACCCCCATGGACGAGCATTACAGGCCCCTGTACCCCAATAGACCCCCACTGCCCCCCATTACAGGCTCCTGCACCCCAACAGACCCCCATTAGAGCCCATAGCCCCACACTGACACTCCAATAGACCCCCATTAGAGCCCATTGGCCCCCTTTGACCCCCATTACAGGCCCCTGCACCCCAACAGAGCCTCATTAGAGCCCACTGGCCCCCATTAGACCCCCATGGGCCAGCATTACAGACACCTGTACCCCAATAGATCCCCACAGGCCCCCATTACAGGCTGCTGCAAACCAACAGCCCCCCATTAGAGCCCACTGGCCCCCATTAGACCCCCATAGGCCAGCATTACAGGGCCCTGTACCCCAACAGACCCCCATAGGCCCCCATTACAGGCCCCTGCACCCCTATAGGCCCCCATTAGAGCCCATAGGACCCTACTGACCCCCATTAGAACGCCATTGACCTTCATTACAGGCCCCTGCACCCCAGCAGAGCCTCATTAGAGCCCATTGGACCCCATTAGACCCCCATTGGTCAGCATTACAGGCCCCGGTACCCCAATAGGCCTCCATTACAGGCCGCTGCACCCCTATAGTCCCCCATGGGCCAGCATTACAGGCCCCGGTACCCCAACAGACCCCCATTACAGGCGGCTGCACCCCTATAGGCCCCCATTGGAGCCCCATTGCCCCCCATTGGTCCCGGTTCGCACCCGAAGAGCCCCGCCAGGAACGAGCGGGACCCGCGGAGCTTCCGGTCGGCCTCGGCCAGGAGCTGCAGCGCTTCCTGCTCCTTCCCGGCCTGCGCCATCTTGGCGCTCCTGCGGTCACGTGACGCCGCCCGCCGCGCCTCATTGGAGGGCCCCGGGGCGGCACGTGACGGGGGAGACGCCGCCGCAACACCACGTGACGGGCGCGCGGGATGACGTCGCTATGCCACGTGACGCAGGCGGGAGGAGCGTGGTCCAATCGCATCCCTATCCCATCCGTATCCCATCGTTATCCCGGTCCCATCCCATCCCATCTCCATCACGGTCCCATTCCACCCCTATCCCGGTCCCATTCCAACCTCATCCCAGTCCCATTCCAACCCCATCCCGGTCCCATTCCAACCTCATCCCGGTCCCATTCCATCCCCATCCGGGTCCCATTCCATCCCTATCCCGGTCCCATTCCTTCACCCTTCCAATGGCAGCTCCACGACATCCGGTTGGGAAAGGATCCCCTCGGGAATACAGCTGGGATGCAGCAGGATCGGGAATGGGGTTGGATGCTCCGATACCCGCCCCATGGATGCAGCAATGGAATTGAAGCCGCCGGGATCCGAGCTTGGAATCGCTTCTCTTGGGAATGGCTTCTGGATCCAGACGGAACCCCAAATCCTTGGGAATGCCGGGGCTGACGCATCCCCTTTTCCAAGGGGTTTATAAGGAAACAGCCCCCCCCAGCCCCTCAGCATCCCAATGGAGCACCCCCAAACCCTGCTCCTGCATCCCGGTCCCTCCCTGTTGCCCCATGGCCCCGGCTGGAGCTATTCGGCACCGCTCGGAGCCCTTCGGAACCCCTCGGAACCGTTCGGAGCCCTTCGGAACCCCTCGGTCCCGTTTGGACCACTTCGGAACGCCCCGGGGTCGTTCGGAACCTTTCGGCACCGCTCGGGTCCATTCGGAGCCATTCGGAACCATTCGGAACCCCTCGGTCTCATTCGGCCCCGTTCGGAACCCCTCGGAGCCCTTCGGCGCCTCCTATAAACGGAACCTTCCAACAAATCACGACCCCGCAATTGAATGCGGACCCCCCCCATTAACCAAGACCCCATCAATTAAATGGGGAACCCCCATTAACCAGGACCCCCCCAATTAAATGGGGCTCCGCAATTAACCCTAACCCCTCCCCCAATTAAGCGGGAACCCCCATTAACCACATCCCCCCCAATGGGGAACCCCCATTAACCAAGACCCCCCCAATTAAATGGGGACCCCCAATTAACTAAGACCCCCTCTAATTAACCAAAACCCCATCAATTGAATGGTGACCGCCCATTAACCAAGACCCCCCAAATATAGAAGACCCCCCCAATTAACCAAGACCCCATCAATTAAATGGGGACTCCCAATTAACCAAGACTCCCCCTAATTAACCAAGACCTTATCAATTGAATGGGGACCCCCATTAAGCAAGACCCCCCAATTAACTGGGGAACCCCCAGTTAACCGGGATCCCCAATTAACCAAGACCCCCCAATTAAACAGGGACTCCCATTAACCAGGCCCCCCTAATTAACCGGGACCCCCCAATTAACCAAGCTCCCCCCCTCAATTAAACGGGGACCCCCAATTAACCAAGACACCCCCCCCCCCATTGAACCCTCCCCTTGGTACGCTCCAGCTCCGCCCCTCCCTCCCTTTGCGCACGCCCCCTTCCCTCTCCACACGCCCCCTCCCTCTTTGCGCACGGCCCCCTCCCTTTGCGCACGCCCCCTCTCCCTTTACGCACGGCCCGCTCCTTTTGCGCACGGCCCCTTTCCCCTCAGTTTATTGCGGCGGGGGCGGCCCGGTCCCGCCAGTAGCGCCGGTGCAGGCGCAGGAAGAGGTCACGGCACCGGACGCGCCCCTTGAGGCGGGCGCAACACAGGAAGGCCCCGGCCAACTTCCGGTGCAGGCCGTAGGAAGGTTCCGGGGGTGGTGTCAATCGGTGCCGAAGCAGCGGCCGCAGCAGGGCCCGCACCCCCCGAGCTGTGCTCTGGGTCCCGAAATCGAACGGGTCCGCGTGGGAGAAGGGCTCGGCCAGGAGGAGAACGGCGGCGGAGTGAGCGGCTTCGTGCGCCTGCGCGGGGGGAGAGGTCGGTGAGGGGGGGTAATGGGGGCTATGGCATCAATGAAGGCTATGGGGTGAATAGGGACTATGGGGGCAGTGGGATCAGTGGGGGCTATAACATCAATGAAGACTGTGGGGTGAATGGTGGCTATGGGGTGAACGGGGGTATGGGGTGAATGAGGACCATGGGGTCAGTGGGATCAATGGGGGCTATGGCATTAATGAAGGCTATGGTGTGAATGGTGGTTATGGGATGAATAGGGACTATGGGGGGAATAGGGGCTATGGCATCAATGAAGGCTATGGGGGGAATAGGGATTGTGGGGCCAGTGAGGACTACGGGGTGAATGGGGGCAGTGGAATCAAAGGGGGTTATGGCATCAACGAAGGCTATGGGGTGAATAGGGACTCTGGGGCCAGTGAGGATTATGGGGGGAATAGTGGCAATGAGGGCTATGGGATCAAAGATGGCTATGGGGTGAATAGGGACTATGGGGCCAATGGGGATTATGGGGGGAGTGGGGTGAATAGGGGCTATGGGGGGAATGGGGGCTATGGGATCAAAGAAAACAAAAACACCAATGGGGATTATGGGGGGGAGTGGGGTGAATGGGGGCTATGGGATCAAAGACAGCTATAGGGTGAATAGGGACTATGGAGCCAGTGAGGATTATGGGGGGAGTGGGGGTTATGGGGTGAATAGGGACTATGGGGCCAGTGAGGACTATGGGGTGAATGGGGGCAGTGGGATCAATGGGGACTGTGGCATCAATGAAGGCAATGGGGGGAATAGGGACTATGGGCCCAATAACGATTATGGGGGGAATGGTGGCAATGGGGGTATTAATGGGATTAAGGATAGCTCTGGGGTGAATAGGGACTATGGGGCCAATGAGGATTATGGAGGGAATGGAGTGAATGGGGCCTATGGGGTGAAAGGTGGCAATGCGGGGAGTGGGATCAGTGAGGACTATGGGACCAATGGGATTAAACACGCTGTAAGGGGCTCAATGGGAATATGAGGTCAATGGAGATACGGGGATCAATGGGAACATTAAGTGAATGGGATCAGTGGGATATGAGGTTAACGGGATATGGGGATCCATGGGGATACGGAGCGAGACAGGGTAAATGGGGTCAATGGGGACATAGGGGTTGGGGGGAGGAATGGGAATAGGGGTATCCCTGGCATGGGATTTGGGGGGGTGGGGAGGTGATGGAATTAAGGGGAACCATCCCTTACTTTGCTCTCAAATCCCGTCAGGAACTTGAGATCCCGGGATTTCTGCAGCACTTTCTCCTTATCCCCATCGGCCGCAGCCCGGATCACCTGGAAAGGGAAGGGGGGAACTGGGAATACTGGGGAATACTTAGGAATAAAAGGGGAGGGGGGGGAAGCCCAAACCCCCCTTTGCAACCTCAATGTAATGATCCGTGAATTCCTGGTCAAAGGAACGCGTGGCTCCGAAATCCAACAGCGTCACCTGCGGGAATGGGATTGGGAATGCTGATGGATCCAACTGGGAATGGGGCTGGGAACTGTGGGATGGGGATGGACTCACCTTGTGCTGGGGGGGATCATAGAGGAAATTGGCCCAATTGGGATCCGTCTGCATGAGGCGGAACTCGAAGAGCTCCCGTAGGCAGAGGCGGAGGAGGTGGGTGCAGATCTATGGGAATGGGGTGGGAATAGGGTGGGAATTCAATGGGATTCCGGGGTTCACACACACCCCCCCCCCCCCTTTCCATACTCGCCTCATCCCGCACATCCTGGCTCAGCTCCTGACACTGATCCAATGGGATCCCGTTCCCCAGCTCCATGGTGAGGACCCGCGCTGCCGACAGCTCCGGCACCACCCGCGGCACGGAGAAGAAGGGATCATCCCGAAGGAGATCCCTTGGGAACAGCATGGGAAGCATGAAGGCATCCATAGGGATAGCCCCAAAACCCCTTCTGCAGCCCTAAACCCCAGCCCCTTTGTGTGTCCCAACCGGAAAGTGCGGGCGGACTGGGCTTCCCGGTGGTAATCGCATTCCCATTCCAGCTCCTTCTGCAGCACTTGCAGGGATTTCTCGGCAAAAAGACCTGGAAAAATGGGATTTGGGAAGGGAAAAATGGACTTTGGGAAGGGGAAAAGGGATTTGGGAACAGGAAAAAGGGATTTGAGAACAGGAAAAAGGGATTTGGGAACAAAAAGGGATTTGGGATGGGAAAAAAGGGATTTGGGAAGGGAAAAAGGGATTTGAGAACAGGAAAAAAGGGATTTGGGAAGAGAAAAAGGGGATTTGGGAAGAGAAAGCATTTAAGAAGGAAACAAAAGGGATTGGGTAGGGAAGGGGAAAAAGGGATTTGGGAAGGGGAAAAGGTATTTTGGAAGGGAAAAATGGGATTTGGGAAGGGGAAAATGGGATTTGGGAAGGGGAAAATGGGATTTGGGAACAAAAAGGGATTTGGGATGGGAAAAAAGGGATTTGGGAAGAGGAAGCATTTAAGAAGGAAACAAAAGGGATTGGGTAGGGAAGGGGAAAGGATTTGGGAAGGGAAAAATGGGATTTGAGAACAAAAAGGGATTTGGGATGGGAAAAAAGGGATTTGGGAAGGGAAAAATGGGATTTGAGAACAGGAAAAAAGGGATTTGGGAAGGGGAAAAGGGATTTGGGAATCGAAAAAAGGGATTTGGGAAGAGGAAGCATTGAAGAAGGAAACAAAAAGGATTGGGTAGGGAAGGGGAAAAAGGGATTTGGGAAGGGAAAAGGGGATTTGGGAAAGGGGGATTTGGGAAGGGGAAAAGGGGTTTAGGATGGGGAAAAAGGAATTTGGGAAGGGAAAAGGGGATTTTGGAAGAGAAAAAGGGATTTGGGAGCCTTTTCCCAGTCTTCCCCATAGGGATTCCCAGCTCACCCTTGGGTAGGGCCGAGCTCATCTGCAGCAGAGCCAGGAGGTTTTCCACGTCGCTGCGGATGCTCTGGGCAATCCCAGGATACTATGGGGAAAGTGGGATGGGAAAGGATTGAACAGCCCCCAAAACCCCCTTTTTCACCCCAAAATCCTCCTTTTTATCCGAAACCCTGCTTTTTTTGCCCCAAAATCCCTTTTTCACCCCAGAAATCCCCTTTTCCACCCCAAAAGCCCCTTTTTCCACCCCAAACCTTCTTACCAAAAAACACCTTTTCACCCCAAAACCCTTTCTTCACCCCCAAACTTTTCACCCCAAAACACCATTTTGAGCCCAAAACCCCCCTTTCCACCCCAGAAGCCCCTTTTCCACCCCAAAACCTGTGTTCAACCCAAAACACCTTTTTCACCCCAAAACACCATTTTCAGCCCAAAAAACACCTTTTTACCCACAAACCATCTTTTTACCCAAAAAAAACCTTTTTCACCTCCAAACCCCTCTTTTTCACCCAACTCTCCCCCCTTTTTACCCCAAAACCCCCTTTTTCACCCCAAAATCCTTTTTATCCAAAATCCTGCTTTTTTGCCCCAAAACCCCTTTTTCACCCCAGAAATCCCCTTTTTCCACCCCAAACCTTCTTACCAAAAAACACCTTTTCACCCCAAAACCCCCCTTTTTCACCCCCAAACTTTTTACCCCAAAACACCATTTTGAGCCCAAAACCCCCCTTTCCACCCCAGAAGCCCCTTTTCCACCCCAAAACCTGCTTTCAACCCAAAACACCTTCACCCCAAAACACCATTTTCAGCCCAAAAACCACCTTTTTACCCACAAACCATCTTTTTACACAAAAAAAACCTTTTTCACCCGCAAACCCCTCTTTTTCACCCAACTCTCCCCCCTTTTTACCCCAAAACCCCCTTTTTCACCCCAAACCCCACCTGGACCTTGATGGCCACCCGGGTACCATCCAGCAGCACCCCAAGATGCACTTGGCCGATGGAGGCGGCCGCAAAGGGAAGATCCTGGAATTCCAAGAGCTTTTCCCTCCAGCCGGGGCCCAGCTCCTGGTCCAGGACTCGCTATGGGATGGGGGGGGGGTGTCAGGGATCCCATGGATCCCGGTTTTCCATAGGGAATGGGGTTGGGAATGGGGATGGGAGCTCACGGTGCTTTGCCAGCGGGGCATGAAGTCAGCTCCCTGCCGTAGGCGCTCCAGGGCCTGCAGCAGCTCCGGAGGCAGGAAACCGGGATCTAAAGGAGGGGGGGATCCCAAATCCGGATCCTGGGATCCCAAATCCAGGCCCCAAGATCCCAAATCCAGGAACTGGGATCCCGGGATCCCAAGATCCCAAATCCAGGAACTGGGATCCCGGGATCCCAAGATCCCAAATCCAGGAACTGGGATCCCGGGATCCCAAGATCCCAAATCCAGATCCAAGTATCCCAAATCTGGATGCTGGGATCCCAAATCCAGGCCCCTGGATCCCAAATTCAGACCCTGGGATCCCAAGATCCCAAATCCAGGAACTGGGATCCCAAATCTGGATCCTGGGATCTCAATCCAAGCCCTGGGTTCCCAAGACTCCAAATCCGGATCATGGGATCCCAAATCGAGATCCAAGTATCCCGAATCCAGATCCTGGGATCCCAAACCCAGCTTAGAGGCCCAGAGGGGCTCTATGGGGTCCAGAGAAGTCTATGGGATATGGGAGGCCTATGAGTTATTGGGGTTCTATGGGATATGGGGGGGTCTGTGGGGTATTGGGGCTCTATGGGATATGGGGGTCCTACGGAGAGGCCTATAGGAGGTCTATGGGATTTGGGGGTCTATGGAATAGGGAGATCTACAGATTATAGGGGGATCTATGCGATATTGGGATTCTACTGGGGGACCTATAAGAGGTCTGTAGAATATGGGTCTATGGGATAGGGAGATCTATAGATTATAGGGGGGGTCTATAGGGTGGGATATGGGGGGTCTATAAGGGGGCTGATATGGGGGGCTCTAGGAGATACAGAGGGTGTCTATGAGGCTCTATGGGATATTGGGAGGCTGTATGGGTTTCTGTGGGCTATGGAAGGGTACTGTGGGGCTCTATAGGGTTCTATGAAGCTCTATAGGGTTCTATGGGTCTCTGGGGTTCTGTGGGTCTCTATGGGGTGCCCCCACCTTGCATGCTCAGCATCTGGCCCAGCTTCAGCGCTGCCCCCCGCGTCCGGCAGAGGGCGCCCGCCAGGCGCTGCCCATTGGCTCCGGCCAGGAGGGAGCTGGGACCCAGCGGAGCCCCTGGGGGCGGGGACAGTGACGTCATGGGGGAGGTCAAAGCGAGGTCATGGGGTCAAAATGAGGTCATGGGGGCATAATGATGTCATGGGGTCAAAGTGAGGTCATGGGGGCACAAGGATTTCATGGGGTCAAAGTGAGGTCATGGGGGTCAAAGTGAGGTCATGGGTGGGCACAATGATTTCATGGGGTCAAGGTGAGGTCATGGGGGCACAGTGAGGTCATGGGGGTCATAGAGGGGTCACAGTGAGGTCATGGGGGGTCAAGGGGGTGTAATGAGGGCCACGAGGAGGGTATTGGGGGTCAAGGAGGGTATTTGGGGCCGGGGGGGATTGGGAGTGGGGGGGGTAATTGAAAGTCATGGAGATTATTGGGAGTCATGGGGTAGTACTGAGGGTCATGGGGGTAATTGGGGTCATAGGGGGTATTGGGGGTTATGGGGGGTATTGGGGAACCCCCCTACACTCACCCCCCAGCTTCGCTTTAGCTGCCTGCGCCAGGGCCCCCATCCCGAGCCCCAGGGCGAGACCTGGGGGGGAACATACGGCAGAGAGTCCCCAAACCCCATTGAACCCCATTTAAACCCCCCCCCAAACCCCATTTAACCACATTTAAATTCATGGACCCCCCCCAAACCCCATTAAACCCCATTTAAACCCCCAAACCCCATTGAACCCCTCCAAATCCCATTTAAAACCCCATTGAACCCCATTTAAACCCCCCAAAACCCCACTGAACCCCATTTAAACACATGGAACCTCCCCCAAACCCCATATAAACCCCATTTAACCCTCCCAAACCCCATTCAAACCCCATTTACACCCCATTGACTCCCATTGACACCCCCGTACCTCCGAAGCTCGCCATCCTCCCCAGCCGCGACACCGGCACCGGCCTCTCCCTCGCCCCTTCACTGAGCTGCGGGACAGAAACAACCGCTCAAAGGGCTCCGGTACCGGGGGGGGGTCCCCCAATATCCCCCCCCCATTCACCCACCTTTAACCGGGGGGGGTCCCCAATATCCCCCCCCATTCACCCACCTTTAACCGGGGGGGGTCCCCAATATCCCCCCCATTCACCCACCTTTAACCGGGGGGGGTCCCCAATATCCCCCCCCATTCACCCACCTTTAACCGGGGGGGGGGTCCCCAATATCCCCCCCATTCACCCACCTTTAACCGGGGGGCCCCAATATCCCCCCCCATTCACCCACCTTTATCCGGGGGGGGTCCCCATATCCCCCCCATTCACCCACCTTTAACCGGGGGGGGATTCAATATCCCCCCCCATTCACCCACCTTTAAACGGGGGGGGTCCCCAATATCCCCCCACACCCACCTTTAACCGGGGAGGGTCCCCAATATCCCCCCCCATTCACCCCCCTTTAACCGGGGGGGTCCCCAATATCCCCCCCCATTCACCCACCTTTAACCGGGGGGCGTCCCCAATATCCCCCACCTTTAACCGGGGGGGGGGGGTCCCCAATATACCCCCATTCACCCACCTTTAACGGGGGGGGGTCCCCAATATCCCCCCCCATTCACCCACCTTTAACCGGGGGGATGTCCCCAATATCCCCCCCCATTCACCCACCTTTAACCGGATGGGGGGTCCCCAATATCCCCCCCATTCACCCACCTTTAACCGGGGGGGTCCCCAATACCCCCCCCATTCACCCACCTTTAACCGGGGGGGGTCCCCCAATATCCCCCCCATTCACCCACCTTTAACCGGATGGGGGGTCCCCAATATCCCCCCCCATTCACCCACCTTTTGCCGTGGGGGGGCCCTCGCCCCCCGGGCCCGCTCCGTTTCTTCGGCCGAGAGGCCCCGTAGGCCGCAGCTCCGGTGCAGCCGCCGTAAGGCCATGGTGGAGGGCACGGGGTCAAAGGGCACCCGGTTTTGGGGGGCGGGTGGGGGTAAGGACGCGGTTGTGGCCACCCCTCACCACGCCGCTTCCGGGTTTAGGCCGCGCCTTTTCCGGTACCGGAGCCACGCCCCCGCTTCCTCGCCAGCCAATGGGAAAGGGGGATGGCGCGGAGGCTCCGGCCAATAGGAGCGCGCTCATAGACCCCGATGGACAAGGGGAGGGTTTTGAGCCTAAATCTCTTCTTTTTTACCCCAAAGTTCTGTTTTCAGGCCTCAAACACCCTCGTTTCCACCTTAAACCCCCCAATTCCACCTTAAACCCCCCAAATTCCACCTTAAACCCCCCCAATTCCACCTTAAACCCCCATTTTCACCCTAAATCCCTACATTTCCAGCCCTAAATCCCATTTAACCCCATTTCCACCTTAAAACCATTTCCACCTTAACCCCATTTCCATCCTAAACCCCCATTCCCAGCCCTAAATCCCATTCTCACCCCAATTCCACCTTAACCTCAATTCCACCTTAAAACACCCCAATTCCACCTTAACCCCCCCTTTTCCACCCCTAAACCCCATTTTCAGCCCCATTTCCACCTTAACCCCCCAATTCCACCTTAAAACCCCCATTTCCACCCCTAAACCCCATTTTCAGCCCCATTTCCACCTTAACCCCCCAATTCCACCTTAAAACCCCCATTTCCCCCTTAACCCCTCCATTTCCATCCCTAAACCCCATTTCCAGCCCCATTTCCACCTTAACCCCCCCCCTCACCCCATTGCCATCACGGGGGGGGCCGCAGCAGCACGGCCTTGCCCCCCAACCCCTCCCTCACCCCCCCCTTGGGTACCACATAGCGGCGCCCATCGGCCCCCCGCTGGGGGCTCAGCTCCATCAATTGGGCATTGCTGCAATGGAGCCCCCCCAAACCCCATAACTGGGGCCGGGGGCTCTTCCCTTGCTGGGCCAGCACCAGCACCCCCTCTATGGGGCCCCCCCTCCATTGGAACCCCCCCTTTTGATCCCATTCCTCTTCCCGAGCATGGAAAAGGTTGGGGATGTCGGGATCCGGGTGTCCCAAGGGGATGGGTGCAGGGTTTGGGGTGCCCAATAACACACCTAAAAAAGGGGGGGGGGGTGGTTTAGATGGGGGGGGTTTATGTGTGTACCCCCCCCCAATGTTGGTTTTGGGGTGAACTCCCCCTGTTTTGGTGCATTACCGGTTATCACGGCCCAATGGGCTCGGTGCCCACGGCGGCAGCAGGGTTCGTGGTTGTTGTCCTCATCATAGCTGGGGGGGGGGGGGTTAAGGAAAAAGGGGACCCCCCATAGGGATGAATTGGGTATGGGACCCCCCCATTGACCCCCATAGGGATAAATTGGGGCTGGGACCCCCCCCATAGGGACAAATTGGGTCTTGACACCACCATAGGGATAAATTGGGGCTGGGACCCCCCCCCATTGGGATAAATTCAGTGTGAGACCCCACCATTGACCCCCATAGGGATAAACTGGGTCTGAAACCCCCCCTATAGGGATAAACAGGGACCAGGACCCCCCCCCATAGGGATAAATTGGGTCTGGACCCCCCCATAGGGACAAATTGGGTCTGGCCCCCCCCATAGGGACAAATTGGGTCTGAACCCCCCCATAGGGATAAATTGGGTCTGGACCCCCCCCATAGGGACAAATGGGGTCTGCCCCCCCCCATAGGAACAAAAGAGCCCCCATTGCCCCCCCCCCATCCATAGGGAGCCCCCCAAAGGATACGGGACGAGGAGGGGGAGCCCCCCCAGGAGGTGCTGCAGGAGCCGGGGGCGGTTGGGCCCCTCCAGCCCCCCCTCGGTGACCTCAGCCTGGCAATGGAAGAGCTCCTGGGCCAGGGCGGCCATGGCTGAGGCTGGGGGGGCATGGGGTGAATGGGGGTGAATGGGGGTGAATGGGGGGTATGGGGGTGAATGGGGGTGAATGGGATGGGGGTGAATGGGGGTGAATGGAGGTGAATGGGATGGGGGTGAATGGGGGTGAATGGGGTGAATGGGATGGGGGTGAATGGGGATGAATGGGGGTGAATGGGGGTGAATGGGGGGTATAGGGGTGAATGGGGGGTATGGGGTAAATGGGGGGTATGGGGGTAAATGGGGGGTATGGGGTAAATGGGGGGTATAGGGGTGAATGGGGGTATGGGGTAAATGGGGGGTGTGGGGTAAATGGGGGGTATGGGGGTGAATGGCGGGGTATGGGGTGAATGGCGGGATATAAGGTTAAATAGGGCGGTATAGGGTTAAATGGGGGGATGTATGGTTAAATGGGGAGCATATAGGATTAAATGGGAGGGCAAAGGGTTAAATAGGGGAGTATGGGGTTAAACAGGGGGATATAGGGTAAATGGGGGGTACAGTCTTACATGGGGGGCCCCCCCCCCATATCGTACCCCATAACCCACCTGAGAACATCTCCCCATGCACGGTGAAGCCTCGGGCCCGGGCGACCCCCAAAACCTCCTCCAGCCCCACTGGGGGGGGCACCGGCCGATGGGGGGGGGTCAACAGTGCTGCTGCCATCCATAGGGCCACCAGCCCACACCTATGGGGGGGACATATGGGTATAGGGGTTAATGGGGGGGTATTAACTTATAGGGATGGGGGGCACATATGGATATAAGGGTTAATGGGGGGGGGGTATTAACCTATAGGGATGGGGGGCACATATGGGTACAAGGGTTAATGGGGGGGTATTAACCTATAGGGATGGGGGCACATATGGGTATAAGGGTTAATGGGGGGGTATTAACCTATAGGGATGGGGGGCACATATGGGTATAGGGGTTAATGGGGGGTATTAACCTATAGGGATGGGGGGCACATATGGGTATAAGGATTAATGGGGGGGGTATTAACCTATAGGGATGGGGGGTACATATGGGTATAAGGGTTAATGGGGGGGTATTAACCTATAGGGATGGGGACACATATGGGTATAAGGGTTAATAGGGGGGTATTAACCTATAGGGATGGGGGGCACATATGGGTATAAGGGTTAATGGGGGGGTATTAACCTATAGGGATGGGGGGCACATATGGATATAGGGGTTAATGGGGGGGTATTAACCTATAGGGATGGGGGGCACATATGGATATAAGGGTTAATGGGGGGGTATTAACCTATAGGGATGGGGGGCACATCTGGATATAGGGGTTAATGGGGGGGTTATATAGGGCTCCCCCCCAATACTCACTGGGGTCCATCCTGGATGAGTGGGGGTGCAGGCCGGTGGATCAGGAGCCATTGGAGGTGGGGGCTCAGGCTGAGGGGGGGGTGGCAAAAAGGGGGGGGGGGTTAAAGT